ATTACTTACATTTATCTACTTTTACTTACTTCTACCTATTTCTATATGTAATTATTAGCTTACATGATTATGGCCGTGACATTCAAGAATCTATAGCTTTCCTATCTTTGACAATGAACAGTTTAATTTCTTCTTGAATACACATACATTCTCTTTCTTTTTATGACATTTTTCTTTAAAACACATCTCATATGTTTGATTACATTCTTCAAGTTTTAATCTTTGATGATTAATTTGGCATAATTTAATGCCTAAATAAAAATATCAAATATATTTTTAATAATAATTGTTTAGATGCAACTTTTTTGTAAAATTTTAAAAAACAATATACTTCCATAAATATTATAAACAAGATCCTTAAAATATTAATTAAAGATTTTAAATTTAGAAATAAATTAAATAATATATTCAATATATATATATATATATATATATATATATATCCTAAATCCTAAAAACTCATGTAAAATAATATCCCGCTCCACTTGAAGAAAACAACAAAATCTTGCAAATGGTCATTCTTTGTTTAATTATATTCAATCATAAGGAATTTTCAATACAAATGCATTATTTTATGAATTTAGAAGTGGTAGAGAATAATGAGTATAGTATGTGGACATAGGAATATTTACTCAACTAAAAAAAAGTAGGCAACTAACCAGATCTTCATTACATGAGCTAGAGCTCATCGGACATGAAACTGTAGTTTTACACTATCGACCTTCAACTATCTGAGGATCCAAGTTTCTGGTCAGAAACAAACCCTTTGTGAGTCTGTTTGTACTTGCTCAAAAGGTGGTTTCCACTTGTCATGGGTGGATACCTGCAGAAAATGGAGGTGGTGTGAGGCATCTTTCATCTGATTGAAATTGCAAGCAAAAGATAATGTGACAAGAACAAGCAGTTCAGAAAAACAAAGGAGAAAGGTTTCATTCTTCTTTTACTCTACTCTTTGAGATTAGCATAGGGATCTCCAACAAGTACAAACATGAATTGATTCAAAGAGAAATTTATATAATAATCAAGACCTAAGCCAGACCAGAGTTTTTAAGGCTCACTTGGGAGGGTTGTTCTCTGAACAACAAGTTGGAAGGCACTCCACTAAACAGTCATAATTGGGCTCAAAGAAGAAGGGTATCTGTAGTTCATTCACACGTCCAAAGTTAGAGGAGGATTAAGATCTAGTAAAATTGTCTAGATGAGGAGGGTCCATCATTTGTACAGAAAGCAGAAGAATGGTCCATATTGAAGTCATTGGAATGTCGTCAAATTGCTCCTGTTTGCAACATCCTTTTTTCTTTCTCTAAAATCAAATATTCAGCAGAGCGCCAATCACAACAAAGCAACTTATTCATTTGGAATATTACCGAGTATCGCTCAATTCCCTGGCTTACGACTCGGTGAAGAGTTGAACTGCAGGCAGAAAATACAGGCTCAATTTTAGGCAAGTTGGATACAAGGATTCTTGCACCTACATCTGTAGAAGTGCACCGAACATATTCTATTTGGAGCAAGGCAACTTATTCAGGTCATATGAGGAGATTGTCTAATGTTTTACTATATGAATGTGTGTATTACCGGAAGAGTCCGTTACTCCATCTTTCAAGCATGTCTCCCAAATTCACAATATAAGCCCTGAAGATGAAAATAACGGCACTGATCAGAAGGGGTCGCATCCAGGATAAACAAGGAAAACTTGCAGAAACCAGAAGAGATAAAGGACCTGCTCCTGCCACGCACCCCTTCATTGGTGGGACATCCTCCCAAACCTGGGGTACTGCAGTTTTATCCCTGCAAATCTGTTAACAGCAAGGACGTTGCAAAATCAGAACTGATGTTTATATACAACATCATCAAAAGAACATTATAATATGCCGCTTGTACTCATAGACACATCCAGCATAGCTGATAAGCAGACAATGACCATTCTTAACAGAGATAGTTGTAATAAGAGCTACACATTGTCATGACGTACATCCATTGAGGACCGATAACACAGATGCAGCCAACTTATACGTACATACAAAACAATATTGACGGTTAAAAAATAGGACCTGGAGACCAGGCACGTCGTCCGTAGCAAGAAGAGTAATCAGGCCATAATCAGAATGAGCACCAGTTCCATATATTCCAAGTTCAACATTTGATTTCTCATCTGCACACCCCAGAGTTGTGTGAAAGAAGGTTTTTGATCGTTTAATGAGACCAATTCAAAATCTCGATGAGATTGAAGAATCCCAATCGAATTAGCAATCGACACATTTCAACTCGTTGCTGAATAAGTGATGCTAGTCCTTGTTAGAACGTGCAAAAACATCAAGGTAGGACTACTGAATTCTAGAACATCAAAAGTCAAACTGACCGGAATAATGAAGAAGTCGCAAACTTGCCATAGGATCATCAGTGATGCCTGGCTTCTCGAAGTAAGTCTCTTCAAGGTTGAGTGCCAAAGCAATCAACCGAGACACTCTTTTCGATAGCTTTCTGCAATAAAACGTTTGACAAGTATGTTCATAGGGTGCCACGATTCACAGCTAATACCATGAACCGTGACAAAATCTTGGTTTCCGCATCTGATTTCAGCATTCCTGCATCCTGTAGAGCCTGATTGATGAGACATAAGTTTATATGCAACACAAAACGTACAAAAGTAACTCACATGAGTTCGCTATGATAATGATCCATGGTCTCCTGCCATCCTGGTAGCACATCTGCATCCACAAATTCTCCAATGCTAAGCACGGCTCCAAGGAAAATTCAAACTGCTATAAAATGGTTAACTTATAACGCCCTGGTTCTATAGAAAGCTCAAGCTTCAAGTCAAAACATCAGGAATAAAAGAGATTAAATCAAAGCAACACTTCACCCGGGGAAGGATACTGATTGGGTCCATGCAAAGGCTTCCTTGAACGTGGATCACTTTCCGGGATTGGAACCCCGACGTAGTAACCCTCCTTCGAATCACCTACTCATTCAGTCATCATACTTCAACATTATCTTTTCCAGATAAAAACATTTTGAGAAGTCAATCGACTAGATAGCAAATTTGTTTACTATCAATAAATGATGATTTATGGGCGAGAGCATTGAATGTAAATAGAAAGATTTAAGTACCTTTCGATTGAGTGTCTGGGTCCAGAATCTCCTCCTCAAAAGGTGTGTAACCTCGGTGATTCTTATCATGGATCACTTTCATCTTTTCCTCCAATGGTAGAGAAAAGAAATTTTTGCTCTGTGTAAAAACCTCTTCTAACAATACCGGGTCCACTCCATGGTTCACGATGTAGAAGAACCCGGAGGTCACACACGCCTGCACATCTCAAGATCCCAGGTACGTGAGAGTAAAACCTAAATCCTCCTTTAATCCACCCTCTAAGAATTCAGACTTCTTATTATGACATGGTAATCAATCATCCACTCCAATTCGACAGTATTAACGTAATTTTATCGACGGTTGCGGGAGCTTGCAAACAGAGAACAAACTTCTACAGATGGAGCTTGAAATTTCATTTAGCTTGTACACGAACAATCCCTCACCAGAACAACATGAAATTACAAAACACTTACTTATTCCAAATCAATATAGCCCAGTCTCGCGTTTCAGAAAACCCAGCTGAAATCAATAGAAAAAGGACTCGCAACAACACATCATCGACATCCACGGCTACATTCACAATCTAAGAAACTGGCTCCCCTGTGATGATGCTGCACGGTGGCCCAAAAAACCCTAAACGATCCACCTCGCAAACCCCCTCACACAACTCCCAAACAGAATCGACGACCGAGAAAACGCAACAACCTTCCGGACTCGAGCTGCATTGGAGTGCTTATCCGGAGAGGCCATGTCGATACACTCCAAGGGTTGTGTCCCATTAGCTCCATGGACACCCATCGCCTACGAGGCTACGCCACAAAATACCCAATTCCCTCAGTGCGGCAATTCATAAACTTCTCCCGTGAGTGCACGCGATCGCTGCAATGCAAACCAACGCAGTCTAAGAATCAATGCATTTCATGAGATCGCCTAGGTTAAGGCGATGAGCAAACTTCGGGTTGAACAGACGCCGATTGTGCGACATAAAACTCCTAATATATATATATATATATATATATATTATCATGGTGCACATTTGACCACTCCTAGAGAAATCTTTACTAAAAAATAAATAGATACATAAAATTTATATAAATATATATATATATATATATATTCAACAATGGAACCATTAATGTTTTGTTACTTTGTAAACACAATTTTTATTAATTACAAAAAAAAAACTTAAATAAGTACGTTATAAAATAAACGCCTTAGGTTTTGGAAATAATCCTCAAGATTGGGCAGGTTTACTCAATTGGATAAATCGGAATGAAACATAAGTTATCTAAGTGGGCAGCTAAGGTGGACTGCTCCCTATCTGGTGGACTGCTCCCTATCTAATTATCTCTATCTTAGGTAGGTACTGCCCAACAAAATATACAATCTTATCAATGTTGTGTTGAATATTTTTAATCTATTTTAAATTTTATAATACCTTCTAAACCAAGTGGATTTTTTATCTAAGCTAGTGGTCTAAACTAGCAGGATGGAAGGATTTCTATCAAAATTTATTTTTATTTTTATTTTCACATTTTTCTTTTGTGGCTAGTATAAAAAGATCTCATTAGGTGTTGGTTGGATTGGCAATTCATAAATTATTGTTGTTTTGCTTCATTGATTCAGCAAGACAATTATGATTTGTGTCAAGGATATGAATCTTAAAGAATTAAAAGATCAATACATTCTTATATTACTTGAAAAGACTAAAAAATCACTCAAAGTTGGTATGATATTAAACAAGAATGGCTATTGTCAAAGACAAAAAGACTAAAAAATCTTGAAACAAGACTAAAGGATTAGAAAGGGATTGATAAGAGTAAAGAAGGCTTCATTCTTGCCTCTATATATACTATCTAATTAGAAGCTACATAGTCACATTTTACAGGACTTCCAACACGTGTCTAATTTGCAAGACACATGTCTTAACTTGCAAGGTAAGTTTTTTATATGTACACTATATTGTTAGCTTGTATCACAAGTTATCAACACGTGTGACACTTGGCTAATTTATTAGCCAAGTTTCTAACCTATCAATAACCTATAAAAATGTACAAAGGTGAAATCGCATCTGTAAAGCTTCTAAAAAACTTTCCTACAAGATGTTATCAAATTAACATATTTTTATTTATTCATAATATCTAGATAACTATTAAAGTAAATATATATGTCTGTGACATTATTCCTTCTATTAGAAACAAGTTCCACAAGGACCGGTGATTACATGTTGAAGAAGGCCAAGATGTGGCAAATTATATTTGTTACATATTTTGATCTTTGTTTCTTTCAAAAGAAGTTGATAAGTCCTCTTAGCCACCAATAATGTCCCATTCTAGAGCAAAAAGACCACCTTCTTATTTGATCATTATTGAAGCCTTTGTAACTTCCTTCAAATAAAATATTTGTAATACAATTAAGAGTCATTCCTACCTCCAATAAAATCACCAAACATCAAGAATCTCTTTCAAGGTCATGATATGAAATGAATTGTATCTTATCATTTAATTGAGGAAGAATATATCATTCTTGAAGGTCTTCATCTTGAAGATTGTGGTAATTGCAATGTCTCATTTAATAAGTTAGCAAACTACAATTCTTGAGTTGAATCTATTGGCTCTTGATTCTCTATTTTCTTAGTACCACAAATATATAGAAACTACAAACAAGGATAAAATATTGAATGCAACCTTTTGTGAATTGCAGTTCTTTTACAATAAAGATTTGATATCTTTTTTCTTGATTTTGATGGATATCATCAGTAAAAAGTATTAATCTTCTTTGGTACATTTGTAAGATTTTTGACTGGCTCCTATGTATGTTTATTAATATTGTATTTGCACCAATGAACAAGATATTCTAACCTATTTTAGTGTTGATTTAAATCTAAGATTCTTTCCACCTTATACTTTTGATTCTTATCCATTTTTATAGGAGGAGGTGGCATTTGACATCTATTTGATATATCTTTTATTTTGTATAGCTCAATAAGAGACACATAGAATATAAGATGGATCTTCATACATTCTAGTAGATACAATCAATAAGTAATTGAATTAATCTATTCACAAATAAGAAATAGTCCAAGTCTACCATGATCCAATTTGTTACCAGTATGAATAGTCTTGATATTATGACAAAGTAACTATACCTTGTTATCAATATGGAATTGAGGTTGTTGTTTGCAATAAGCATCTACATTAATCTTTTGTTGTTTTTGAGCTTCTTTTAGTTGTGCCTTTATTGTTGTATGTAGCTCAAATAAATAATTTGCTAAATCTTCTATTATAGAATTATTAATTTTTGAAAAGTCAAAATCATGAAGTTGTGTATGATAATTATAATTAGTAAAGAAAGATATTTATTGTGTAGAAAAATATATCATATTATTATAAGCAAACTTTGTTAATAGTAAAAACAAATGTGTAATTATCTTGTTGGTATTTAATGATATACCTCAAATATTATTCTAAAATTTAGTTTATGCACTTTATTTGTGTATTAATTTGAAGAGGAGAAGCTAAAGATAGATTTAAGTCTATGATTAGAATCTTAAAAAGAATTTTTAAAAATCTTGATACAAATTGAATCTCCTTATCCAATATAATATCCTTAAATAATCCATGATAGCAATAGATGTTGTTAAGAAAAAGCTTAGTTTTTTCTTCACTAGTGATACATTTTGTACGTAATATAAAATATGCCATCTTGGTAAAATGATCTATTATCATGAATATAGAATCATACAAATTTGAGACTGGATGATTTGTGATAAAATCTATAGAAATAGAAGACCATGGTTATTTCAAAATAAGTAATTGCTGAAGAAGTCCATAAGGTTGATGAGAAGAAGTTTTTGATCTTGAACAAATATCACATGATTATACAAAGTCTTTGACTGCCTTCTATATTTAAAGCTACCAATTTTTTTTCAATATTAGCTTCAAAGTCTTGTTATATCCAAAATATTTGATTATTGCAAAATCATGTACAAATTGAGTTTGATTATGCTCAAAATCATTGCAATATTACAATTTGAAGAATTTGTTTTAATAAAGATCTAATAATAATTAGAAAATTTTAAAAAATATTACATGTTTTGAATTATTTTTGAAATCTTTCAATTTATGATAGTGTAGACCTTCTTAGGATCCATCATAAAGCCATCATTTGCAATGATGTATCTTAAGAAGTCAACTTAAATAGTATAAAATACACACTTTTTTATCTTAAAATATAATTCTATATCTCTTAATTTTTATAATATATAATAAATATAAAGTTTATGCTCTTTTATATTCTTAAAATAATTTAAGATATTATTCAAATAACAGATGATAAAGCCATCAAGAAACTTATAATTTATTAGATGTTGAAAAATAGCTGGTATATTTGTAAGTCTAAAAGGCATGATATTATATTCAAACTGCTTATACCTAATTTAAAATACAATTTTCTATTCATCTTCTTTTTTAATGCATACTAAATTGTATGCCCTTCATAGATCTATTTTGATATAGATCTTTGATTGATTGACTTAATAAAGAAGTCTTAAAATCAAAGGTAGATGATACTTATTCTTGATGATAATTTTATTTAGTCTTCAATAGTCCACACACATCTACAAAGATTGGTTTTTTTTTTTTTTTTTTTTTTTTTTATAAATAATATAAGAGCCCTTTTTGGAGATTTAGAATGGCCATTGAAGTTTTTAGCCAAGTTTTCATGTACTTTTTGAGTATAGCCAACTTCTTCTATAATAGGTTATAAATTGGTTCAAATGATGGTTGAGATCTTTCTTAAAGATTGATGGAATAATTATAAGAAGGATGCTCTATAAGAATATCTATTTTCTATTTTTCAAAAACATCCTAATAATCTCAATATTTGCTTGGAATGCAACTTAAAATCTTTTTTTCTATAAAAAATAGATGAGGCATATATAACAAAAGTTGATCCTTCTTTGGTAGTATACATAAAAACTCTTACATGAACCAATATGGATTTGGATGTATTAAACTTATAAGTTTCTACTTCACTAGTAAAATCTCAAGTTAAAATATGAAAAAATTAAGATTACAAGAAATCTAATCTATTTAGAGGTTATAATTTTTTAGCCACAATAATCTTAAAATAACTAAATTAAAAAGAAATCTAATGATATTAAATATTATTAAGTTATTATGATTACTAGTTGCTACATCTAAAATAGTAATTTTATACGTAGCATCTCTAAAATATAACAAACAATCATCAATTACTTCTAAGTGCATAAATTTGGTTTTTTTAAATAAAAATATTTCTTATTTTTTAACAAAATCTTTGTCTATAAAATAAGCTAAGGCTCTTGAATCTATTAAGGCTAAGACTTTGTAATTTTTTGGTTTTAAAAAAATTTCTATTATAAAAAAAGGTAAAAGATTTGATGAAAAGATAAGATCATTACTAGATATTGTATAAGATTTTAGCCACATAGTCTTCATTGTAATTGAAGAAACTTATTTTTCAATAAATTGTCTTTTTTGGCAACTATACTTCTCATTTTATAATTACATTGTTTCTTTAGATAATGTCAAGAAGTGTGTTTAGATTCTCCACAATATAAGCACAATCTTTTTTTGCTCAATAAGAAGTTTGAAACAAATTATTTCAATTTGCATACGTTTTGGTCTTGATAAATAAGCTTTTGTGAACTAAGAAGTTGTTGCCATGACTTGATTTGTACCTCTCCAATCAAATCTTTATTCTTAGTATCTTTCAAAAAATTGATTGTTGCATGTAATAGATTGAGTAATAAATTACTCTAATGAGTCTATTTTTGACATTATTAAGAATAAATCTTTGATATATTCTTTAAATTCATATTAAAATTGATTGAAAAGGGCCTTGTCATTCTAATCCATGTTGCAAATAAGATTTTGGAATTCAATAGCATATGTGGTAGTTAAATGTGATCCTTGTCTTCAAGATGTAAGTTTGAACTTTGCTACTACTTCTTCATTACTTTCTCCAAATGTGGCTATAAAGACTTCCAAAAATGAATTTAAATCATAAAGTAGTCTTGAACCTTTTTCTATCAAAAGTATAAATAAAAGAAGAGCACTCTCAAAGAAAAGTGCATGTATGGAACTAACTTGAATAAATTCATTAAGGTATTGTGAAGAATGTAACCTCAGATAGAATTTTATTTGTTGTAGAAATCTTTAAAATTTTGATCTTATTCCATTGACCTTCTTCGACATACTTAATCTTGTCTTCTTTATATTTGTAATATCAAGACTTTTTGGATTTAGTTGTAAACTTGATCTAATTGCTTCTATCAATTGCACATTTTTTTAGTATAAACTTTGAACTTTATTGTTGAACTCTTCCATAGGAGTTAGAATACTAATTCCATCGTTGACATTAAAAATATGTGAGATTTCTACTCTAAGATTATTGATAAGCTTGTGAAGATCTGTAATAGTTGCAAATCTATTTTTATTTTTGTTCAAAGTAGGATCCATAAATTTTTCTTCTTTAAAAAACTCAAAAAAAATCTATAAGAAATTAAAAGAGAATAATCTGCAACTTCTAATGTCAAATAAAAATTTCTACAAAAAATTTTAGTTTATTCTCTATAATGAAAAAAATTATAGTTAGAGAACTAAAATATTAGGTTGACAATGGATAGTCTACAACCTTCAAAACACAACAACAGAAGTGAGAAGTCTTCTCACTTCTAAAAATAATACAAGCATATTGAGCTAGTACTCTTCTCATACTGTCAAGGACATGAATCTCAAAGAATAAAAAGATCAATACATTCTTATATTATTCAAAAAGGCTAGAAAATCACTCAAAGATGGTATAATATTAAACAATAATGGCTATTTCTAAAGACAAAAAGATTAAAAAAACTTGAAACAAGACTAAAAGACTAAAAAGGCATTAACAAAAGTGAAGAAGGCTGCATTCTTGCATCCACATATACTATCTAACTAGAAGCTATATAGTAATGTTCTATAAGACCTTCAAGACATATTTAATTTACAAGACAAGTGTCTTAACTTACAAGACAAGTTTCTTATATATACATGCCACATTATTAGCTTGTACCATAAGCTATTAATATGTATAATACATGATTAATTTGTTGGCTAAGTTTCTAACCTATTAATCATTTATACACACGTATAAAAGTGAAATCATATCTTTAGAGCTTTTATAAAGCTTCTTTACCAGATAATATCAAATTTATATGTTTTTATCTATTCATAATACTTAGGTAATTATTAAAGTGAACATACATATCCATGATAATTTTTTTGTTGTTTTGTTTGTTCTTTTAAAAATGTTGAACTTAAAGTAACTATGTCATTGTCTTTTACATACATTGTATGTTGCATTGAACATTGAACTTTGTGAAATGAAGGTAGTAAAAAATTTATTTATATGTTTGTTGATATTATTATCATTAGAAATCATTTTTTTTCTCTTCCTTCTTCTATGTTATACTTTGTATAATCCCAATGCTTTTACATGTGCATACCTCATATTCAAACTAATGTCTTATTTTTTTATCAAGATTAAGATGATTAACATAGCTTGATCTACCTTTATATCACAATTTGCAACTCAAATGCCATAGTAGATGAGTGTTACGGATATTCAATAAGAAGATTTTTAAAATATTTTTAAAAATATTCCATTAAATTTTAGAAGATTTTAAAAGATTCTTAAAAGATTCTTAGAAGGTTCTAAAAGATTCTAAAATATTTTAGCAAATCCTAAAAAAATTTAAGAAAATTAAAGAAGTTGTCCAAATAGCTTCGTAGGATTGCTTCATCTTCAAACAACATAAAAGTTTCTTGAGAAGCTTTCTAGTACCTAATGTATATAAGAATCTAGGCTGAGGAGATCTTGAATCTCAACAATATATCTCTTAGAGCTCTAGCTTATCTTCTTGATATTGATTTTACACTCATCTAATTTAATGAAGTTCTTATTAGCTTTCATGTTGAAGCTTTTTGGTTCAACTTCTTGTTTGGTCTCATATATAATATATCTATGATAATGAGCTACTTATATCACAACCTTGTTAAATTACACAATAATTAAATATCTTCTATTCTTATAGAAAAATTTCTCAATCCATGACAAAATTATCACCATGCATTGTTGTTAGATGCAACATACTCTACAATGCAATGGAATTTCATAACATGAATTTGACACTTTATTGCTAAGTAGAAGTAGGAATAGAATTGTCTAGCTTTTGTTTGGAGCCAAGGTCATTTATTGAGGCATTGAAGTACAAAAATATTTTTCAAAGGCATCACAAATAGTCCAATCCTTAAAGAATAGAACGTGATGGTGCAAGCTTGTGAGTTTGACAACATGGATGCCATGATTGATGTTATTGTATCTAAATCCATTCGCAAGCTTATTTCAATTTTAGCAAGTATGAAGAAGGCTTGATAGAGAATCAACTATTGGCATACTTCAAAGCTATGGTATCCAAAAATAAGATAATGAGATCTTATATTGGAATGAGTTATTATAATATCTACATCTTGATTGTGATTCTAGAAAATCCCAAATGATTCTTACAATACCCTAGTACTATGCCAAAATTGCACAAAGAAGGCTCAAATCTTTTTTTAACTTCAAAATCATCATCATGGATCTTACAAGAATGTCAATGTTTAATGCATCATTGTTGGATAAAAGTACACATGTAGCAAAAGCTATAATAATATTTAGTAATATTGCTTGTATATTTTTTATTAAAATTTATTGATTAAATTTTCAAAAACAATGCTATCAAATTTAAAATAAATTATAGCAAAGGCTCCAAACACCACCAAAGTTGCTGCAAAGGCATCTATTGCAAAGGCAAAAGTTACTAAGAAACTTGGTGCTTGTTATATGAAGACCAAAAGTGCTAAGAGAGTTGCATCAAAAGTCAAAGTCTCAAGTGCACAGCCCGTGAAGGTTGTGTAAGTTTTAAAGATGTCAAAGCTAAATGCAAAGACATCTAAAGTTATCAATGTAAAACCACTTTTCCACAAAAATTACTTTGTCAATGTCAAAAAAGACCAAAACAAAGCCATATGTATCAGCAACAAACTTAGTAGTAATTCTAGCATCTATAAAGAAGCATGTGACAAGAAGAAAATCTCCAACAATTAGAAAGATGACTTTGTCAAAGAACGCTCCAAAGTTGGTGACGACCACAAAATTGCCAAAAATTATAAAATTTGCAATTGAAGTAAAGACAAATGAAGCTTCATAATCATCTACAAAGAAAGCAAAGAAGTGAAATTTCAACTCTTATTAGGTCTGAATTGGTGTTTTTAAACACTCTTCTTTTAAAGAATGAATCTATTCTATTTACACCAGAATAAAATGTGTAATTTAATGTATGATGAGAATATATTTAGTTACATATCTATATATATATATATATATGTATATTTCAAACCTCAATAAGTCTAAGCAATAATAATAAGAAATCAAACTATTATAAAAAGATTTGAGTAAGATTTATTGTAGCAAATACAATATTAGTGCAACACAAATTTTGTTATTACAAAATTATCATAATAATTATATGCATAAACAAAAAAATTTAAAATTATAGATAGAAAAAGAAGTTAAAAAATTATGTTATCGTTAGCAATATAGAAACTTTGGATCGCTCAATAGCACAACCACGAATGTTTACCGTATCATCCACCACATACATATACGACACGAATACGAATCGCATTAGAAGAAGGTGGAGACGGGAACAATCGACGACAAGAACCCGGGAACACACGTTCACACGTTCGCAAGTTCGCGAAGAGGGCCAGAACGGAGACCGAGGAAGTGTCGGAGCAGCTTCCGTGGAAGCAGCAGGCGATGGCACCACTAAGTAACCACGCACAATACACAACGAACTAACACTCTGGAGGGGGTTTTTTTATTGGGGGGGAGGGGGGGGGGGTTCCATGTATTAGGGTGTGAGCGACGAGCTTCATGAGTAGCACTTCCTGAGATGAATTGATCCTCCCGCTGGGTCGCACCCGGATGTTCGCAGTGCTGGAGAATGTATACGTAACGAGGATCATTGCCCACTTTCGTCCGGAGCGCTTTGCTGAGCCTCGTCGTCCACTATGCCTGTTAAGGATCGCGTTTCGTACTTTTACGATGGTGAGATTTTTGGGCGATGATTGTTGTTGGGGGGGTCGTTGCAGCCGGTGTAGGAGTTGGGTTGTTTCGCAACTGGTTGCGAGGTTGCGGGTTTTTTTGGGTCTTGTGGGGTTCTGTGAGATGGTGTGTTTTCTGTCGCGGTTTGCCGAATTGTGAGTGGGTTGGGAGAATGAAAGGTTTTCGTTATCGAAGAAGAGATGGAGGATCATGTGTTTTTCAGTGGGGGTGGAGGTGGAGGTGGAGGTGGAGGCTTAGCGTGGTTTGTGTGTAGTTTGTCTTTTTTGGGTTGAGTGATAAACATTGAGGCACTTTAAAGCGGCTTTTGTTTCTTGAGGTTGAGACCTAGAAGGATTTGGTTAGGTTGCTCTTCGAACTGGGACGCTAGTTGAAGGGAAAAGGTAGGTGGTTGAGTACGTATCTTTTGGTAGATAATTTTGGCTTTGTAGGGTTTCGGCAACATCCGAATGCTCTCAAGGTTTTCTGCACTTGTGCTGTACCAAACGCAAAAGCGTCAAGTACATCAGAAGGTTAAGGAATCAAGGAATAGTGTTAAAATGAACCCTTGCAAGCAGTGTGAAGGCCGTGGCCTCCAATTGAAAGTACAATCACCAAACTCCTTAAGGATAATCGTTGTGATCCTCTTTCGCATATTGTTTGCGGAGCCCGCTTCTCTGAGTATGACCTACGTGACGCAGAACACTAGAAAAGCGCGGTAGGATCCTCGAATTACGGGTCATAAATTTCTAACTGCTCATACATCAACTTTGTTAGAGCCACGTCTGATTGATGTTATACTGCCAACCCTTGATGAAGGTTTAACATTTCTCCCTAACGTCAGTTCCTGCTGAAGGAGTCAGCATACCTGCCTTTGCATTGTTTGGCTCCTGGAGGAGTATGTTGTCTACATGTTGGATATCCACAAAACCGCTCTAATTGTTTTGTTCAAAAGTGTGAATTTTCTAGTTTTGTGCATTTCGTTGTTGCATGTCGTGACGCTTTTCTGGTTATTATCTTTTGAAGTGATTTTTGTGAGGAACTCTTTACTTGCGGATTTGTAAGCCATTTTCAGCATTATGTTGTCACTCCCTCGGCCTTTTCTGGAAGTTTCAGGAAGTTCATGTGACTGAGGCGAGGAACTTCTTGTGTACAGGGGACGTGGGTAGTGTGTACTATGGGCCGAACCATCCAATGAAGCCCCATCGGTTGTGTATGACAAACAGTCTCGTCCTTGCTTATGGACTTCACAACAAGATGGAGATTTATGTAAGAGCTTTTTGCTTCTCCTAAGTATTCTTTTGTCTAGTCATATGATTACTTCGATATCAACCGATGGTTGCGTATTTAATGGAGTTCTCATTACAACCGAGAACTTCAATATATAAGTGTAAAGGATCATTTAGAGTCTGTGTGCACAAACGTCTGTGAAGGGTGTCTATGTGGAGCCATCTTACTTTCTGTATTAAACACGACAATACTTGAGATTGACGTCAACCGCAGTCTTGCTTTACTGAAGCTGTAGGATGAGATGCTTCGTACTGAAGCCAATTCTTTTTCAACGATAACGTTTTTTGTTTTTTTTTGTTTTGTCTTGCTTTTTTCTCATTTTCAGCGACCCCACAAAGCCTACCCAGTGGAACTCGCGCAGTTTCACTCTGTTGACTATGTTGAGTTTCTCGGCCGAATTACTCCTGAATCTCAGGAAAAGTATGCAGCGGAGTTGATAAGATGTACGTTATCAGGGCCCTGGATGACTCTCCAATATATTTTGATGTCTTTGTCGTTTACCTGCTTCCCAAGCAACGTAGATATATCTGCAATTTTTGATTTTTCCCATCATTCATGATGTATTGTAGGGGTGTAGTGAATGCTAGAATTATCTTCTTTAAACCTATTTCGTCATTCGAAGATGTATTGTTGAAGTGTTATCTATTTGTTAGAGAATTCTGTTGCCGTTGATGCGATATTTTGTCTTTACCTGATGGTAGATTACCTTGATTAATTGCAGATAACATGGGGGAGGATTGCCCTGTTTTTGACAACCTTTTTGAATTTTGTCAAATTTATGCTGGGGGTACTATTGGTGAGTCTTAGACCCTATCTAGACACTGATGCTTGTGCAAATCCTCTCATGCTTGGTTGTACCGTATTTAGCATTACGAAGAAACGGCCACTATTTATTTATTTATTTGTTGACTACATCAAATTATGTTTCAATTCAACAACTATTGAACATTCTTGATGGATGAGTTTATTATGATACGGAATTTCTTTGATGAGTTTTTCACTTTCGCATGATTGATGCAGATGCCGCGCATCGTCTGAACCATGGCTTATGTGACATAGCCATCAACTGGGCTGGAGGTTTACATCATGCAAAGAAGTGTGAAGCCTCTGGATTTTGTTACGTGAATGACCTAGTTTTGGGCATTTTAGAACTTTTGAAGTATCACGCTCGCGTGCTATATATTGACATAGATATTCACCATGGAGACGGAGTAGAAGAAGCGTTTTATCTTACTGACAGGTACAGCGTTTATCTGGATGGTACTGTATATATTCATTCCACTTCCGTTTTTCATCTCCTAGGAAAATGATGCTATTACCTGCTTCATGAACAGATGTCAAGCTTATTGCCCTTTTAATCTTCGTGTAGTCATCATTCTCATGTGAAACGCTGTCACATTTGCTGGACATTAAAACTTATTGCGAACCTTGCTGTGTGATATTATGCAGAGTAATGACCGTTAGTTTTCATAAATTTGGAGACTACTTCTTCCCAGGCACTGGGGATGTAAAGGTAAAATCCTGCGACGATCTTTTTAGGGTTGGCACAAAGATTTTATTCGAAACTAATTACATTTTATACTTTCAAATCAATGGCGGGATTTGAGGTGGCTTATGCTAGCTTGTGCTCTTTAGAAAGAAACAGGGGTATTTAAGCATTATCACGTAATTAATTTCGAGATTTTGCAGGACGTTGGAGAGAGAGAAGGAAAATATTATGCAATCAACGTGCCGCTAAAAGATGGCATTGATGACGCAAATTTCATACGGATGTTTCGCGTGGTGGGTACCTGTGTGCTCTAATTCCGATTGTTCGTGTGTTTATCTGTTGAGGTTCTGGTTAGGACTTCGGTAGTTAATATCTTGTGCCCAAGCCTCTCGATTGATATTTCTATCGTAATAATTGCAGGTAATCCAAAAGGTTGTGGAAGTTTATCAACCTGGTGCCATTGTTCTGCAATGTGGAGCTGACTCACTTGCAGGGGATCGTTTAGGCTGCTTCAATCTTTCCATTGATGGTATGGATGAACGCTCTTTTCAACTGTTTTTGAGTGAGGCATCACTAAAGTGCTTATGAATACGTCATTAAGTTGGGTTTTAGTGTTATTAACTTCATAGTGAACTCTTATCCTTGAATGTCCTGTTTACTCAGGCTCTTCTAGGTTTGAATCTGTGTTGTGTAACATATGCTACATATTGGAAATAGAGAGTCATTTATGTTGTGACAGAGAACCATATTGTCTGGAAAAAATTCATAACCCTTTATTTTATGTTAGATGTAGTTGATGGATAGGGGTTCCAACTTTGAGATTATGAATCAATTGAATTGCATCCATTATTGCGTTCAACACCCAACAAATGATATTTGCTCAATAATATTCTGTTGGGTAGAGGAAATGTGCTTTTATTACTTTATTATCGTGCTAATGTGCCATAATATTTCACAGGACACTCGGAATGTGTGAAGTTTGTGAAGAAGTTCAACATACCCCTTCTGGTAAGTTCTTCTTCACTGATTCCATTACTTCTATTTTAGGTGATAAAGAATGTCTAAGCTTGATATAAGATATATTAGGAAAAAGAAGGAAAAGAGGGTCATTGGTTGTCATGCTCAATATTGCCAAAATCCGTTTTCACATGTGTATTAGTGATCTGTATCAGCTTCTACTAGCTGTGAGCAGCTCCTGTTTGCTTCACATACACTACTTCTGTATCTGTTGTTACTTTATCGGCTACTGGTATAAGCACCTTGCGGCATATTTTAGCAATTTGTTAATACTCGTAATTAGTTTAATGCTAATTGGATAGTACTCTTCATTAATTTACTATATGTGTCAATTTCTCTCTTCATTTTTAGGTGACAGGTGGGGGAGGATACACCAAGGAGAATGTCGCACGCTGTTGGACAGTGGAGACTGGTGTTCTTGTGGATACTGAGCTGCCGAATGGTATTTATTTCTTGTGTTACCTTGTAGCTCTATTAAGATCCTTGTGATCTGTGCCGTAGTCATCACTTTTTCTTCTGCACACCTGCCTTGTTTTGAATCAGTGATCGATGTTGTTGCACCTTTTCGTTTATGCTCTTAATGTGCAGACCGTATAGATGAAATCCCCTTTGCACATTTCATTTGTTCCATGCTGACTACTGGAAGTTCCGATTCGCAGAAATTCCTGACAATGACTACCTGAAGTATTTCAAACCAGATTGCACTTTGAAGACCACATCAGGAAATCACATGGTAATACTCAGTTGTGTTCATCAGTTTGCCTGAGGGTTGTTATCAATAAATAATCTGGCACTATGTGCTATTATCTTTTGTAGAGATTTTATTTAAGCAGTTGTGTTACATTGCTTGTGTACTTTTTGTAACAGGAAAACTTGAACGGTAAGACCTACCTGAGCACTATCAAGCAGCAGGTTATGGAGAACTTACGGAGAATTGCTCATGCACCTAGTGTTCAAATGCACGAGGTATATGTCAACGTCATTCGATCCTGTATTCTAATTCTGTATTATCCTGTATTCTGATGATGAGCTAGTATTTGTGTGGACTTGTCACTTGATTTTAGCAAATTTGTTTTAGCAAGTGATTTGCAGCGACAGCTGCGGTTTTACCTTTCGGTCTTCTCCTATGTTAGACTAAGTCCCTTATACATTAGTCCAAGGTTCTTACAAGCTTGCAAAATGCGTAGTGAGAAACAGTAATTGTCTACTCCGTCAGTTGCGTTTCTTGTGTGCTTCGAAATCCCTCTGAAGTCGTTACCATTTTTGAGCAGGTACCTCCGGACACTTATATACCAGAGTTTGATGAGGATGAATTGAATCCTGACGAGCGCATGGACCGTAAGTAATTTTATTTTCCATGGCATCTCATCTGCGGCTCCGAGTTGGGAATGTTGCTTGAATTAGAACTGCAAATTTGACTTAGTCTTCCTGTTTGGAAGTTTCGGTCATTGATGTCATTAACGTCGCTTCTATAAACAATTAATCACTTAATACCGAATTATTTGTTCGTTGTGAAGCTATACTTGCCAATCGTTTTTTGAAGCATGGTCATGGTAATGTCTGAGTGGCTTTTGTGTTTACATGAATACAGAACACACACAGGACAAGCACATCCAAAGGGAGGAGGAGTATTATGAAGATGACAACGACAACGACCATGACATGGATGACTCATGACTGTTTATTAGATGTTTTTAGAAGATAACTGAAAACATGTCCTCATTTGTACACTAGATTTTACCCCTACTAACACATTGAATGAAAGAGTTGGTTAGTTTTTTAGTCATTCTGTTTTATGATATTATGTGAAACTCTTGGATGAGTTGTGGTTTTGTTTTACTGCTACAGGAAGCATCTGGCTTGTTATGAAGTACCGGTGTTGGAGATGGCTTGAATTTGAGAAAGATGTGACATGTCCGTTATCTTTTCACTACTTTGGTGCGTCTTGTAAGCAGTTGTAATCCAGCTCTATGATTTGGGGACCGGAGTTGGTCGATGCAGCTGCTAACCTTATTGTTTCTCGTTTTATCGAAGGTGCATCTCCAATTTTCTAGCAGTATCAGAGATGGCTTGGAAATGACCACTCTGTGCTTCACGATGTCCAGATCTGGTATGCGGATCTCAATCTCCTCGATACTTTTCGACAAACGGGTTTTGTGCAGTGTTCTTCCCCAGCTTTAGTTTTCGTAGCTGTGTTTGAATGTTGTCCTTATCACCTCTTGATGTTATCAAACAGTTCAGCAAATTGCCAGGAATAGCTTTCCTCCCTCTGTCGGTCTTTATTCACTACATCACAATCAATCTCGTCGACTATCACACGCACAAAACTTCTAAGAAATCAATCCCATTCTTCACCGGAGTGAAGTTTTAATTACACCTAGATATCGTGTTCTTACCAGAAACGCATGAAATCTCTTTGCCAACCCCGTGCCCGAGCAGGATAAGCTATTCTCTGAGAAGCTTACTCAAAGAACAGCGCATGAAAACCATAAGAGGCATTTTAATCTGTAAAACTAAGAAAGGAAGGGTCGTGGACTGTTCATGACATCCGAAGTGTTTCAAGTGATCGGTTGCCACGCTTAGATCTAAACGTTATTATATCAGAAAACTCGGAGCTGTCGATGTTAAGGAACAGGAGCAGATAAATTGCCGGTGTTGCAGGCTAATTATGGACAACTCTCTCTTAGGGACGGCAACTTTGCGAAAGGATCGCATCATATGTACATATGGAAATTCAACTTCAGGATTTGGAATTAGCTAATCGATAAATGAGAGTGCGATCAGCAAATTTCGACATTAATAATATACTCCTCTTTGATTATTCAAATGATTCATTGGAACTGACACGTGGAAAGATGTAGCATTCAACAAGCAAGTCGCTAATGCTATAGGATGCACGCTTTCACTACTCTTGGGAAGTCTACGTCAAGGTCCACTGCAGTTAATCTATGATGTCTGTGATGCTATTAAATACATGCAACGTGACAAGACTTGTGTTCTGGTGACAAGGGTGGCAGCATAGACTTGAATATTTTATTTTCTTTTTCTTCAATTATCACTACTTCACCGACCAAGACACCGAATCTGAAAACATTCTCGTCAGCTTGTGGGAGTGTTTTGCTTTCCAACGTGACGGTGCAAATGACAGACCTTAGAAGTGATATAAATGATCTGATGACGATCATGAACTTTCGATGTGATATTCATATGTGGACATCCTGAATCCTAAAATATTTAGATGAGAATAGTGGTACTTTTCATGCACAGAAAATGGAATATGCGTCTCCAGAAGGATTCTTTTGGTCAACAGTGGTGTTGCTTTCATGGTGAGCTAGCTCAATGGTCTCATGAGGATTGAGTCTCTTAGTGAATAAGTCTTTTAAATATTCGTGCTTTCATCCAAGCCTACAACGTTTTTTTTCAAATATCGAGTGCACAATCTTTTAGAGTTTGTGAAGCACCTTTGCCACCAAATGTGTAGTTGATTGATCCCGTGTTACACATCACACAAATTTTGACTACTCAGGCATGGTAACACGATTAGTCGGTTGGATATTTTGCTACAGTATGCTTCAAATTTCTCAGTGCCAATGGGAGTGGCTGTCCGATGTCTGTTCATTGTTTATACCAATTCTCAAGGGTGCTGGTTGGGTGTCCTGGTCTATTTCTCCACATGAATTGGAATACGAATTTTTAACTGCTTCTGCACGTTAACGACAAACTCTTGACATTCTTCCAGAACAGCTTAACTCTTCGTTGTACGCATCCTTGCGTTATGTTTCTTTCCCTCAAGCCTTGATGACAATTTGTGTCTGAATGTCTTAAATTTTTATGTAACCAAGGCTCCCTGTAGTGATTTATTTGGTTAACAAAAATTCAACTTAATTACACCAGCTAGGGTGCATGATGTGTTGGATGGGCTCTCGTTTAGTAGACTGTATGTATCTGAAGTATCGTCCTCTCTATCAAAATATGGATAGGTTGGACTAAACATTATCTGGTTTGCTTTTTTCAATAGCAGTATCTTTTCATCTCCTGACATAGTTGATCCTAATTATATTTCTAGAAATCAAAGAACAAGTAGTTTAGAATTTGGTTAGATGTCCTAATCTTATTTATATATAGAAAAAAGTGCTTTGATGAACTGCATGTCCAACCAAAGACCTCATGTTTGTTTGTGCTTGAATTCGTCTTGAAATCAACTTCTCGGAATTGGGTGTGAAAAGAAATACTCCAAATAAATAACTTCATATTGTCAAAGAATAATGTTAAGAAAACAAGTACATAGTTTACTTCTAGAGTAGAATATATATATATATATATCCCTTCATTGTTATCGTAGGTGGTTACTTTTATTGTCAAGTATAATGGCAACTATCAATTCTCATCTTATCTTCAAACAATCTAAAGATAACATTCTATCATTAGTAACTTCTAAATTTATACTAATACTCTCTCTCATCTTGATGATCAATGAAGGTAATATATCCAAACAACAATTTTAAGCTAATATGTTAGGTATCTTTGAATTTTATAACATTCAAGACAATGGCAACCTAATCCTTTAGTCAAAAGAACAATAAAGGATTGTATTAGAATTTTGAATGGCAAATTTTTCAATACATATCTATGGTGGATTCTTTATTGACTTCAATGAATCTTCATTGTCTTACTTAGAAAGGTTGTTTTGAAATAAACTTACGTGTGAAGGTGCTTTGCAATGGAATCATTTTTCTTACTATTATACTCTTTCTTCTTATTTCTTTGTCAAATATTCAACCACATCACTATATTCATTGGAAATGGCTTCATCAATTCTTTTACTAAGAAGTCTGCTACAACTTATCTATGTTTAAAGATTATACCATCTAGTTCTAACCTTAGTTCTATATTACTTCTTCTAATTCCAAATTCTATTGTGAAGTATATTTTGTGGCCAAAATTAAACAATTCTTATCTCTATCATTATTGTGGAGATTGCAGCTTGTTAATAAGATTTGACAAGGATTTTTTGCTTTCATTCTTGAGTGGCACACAATAGAATTTGTAAAGGTCGACCATCTAAGATTTTTAATAACTATTATTGATAATAGAACAAGTTTAATTTACAAATTGAACAATAATTTTTTTTTATCTCTCTTTTATTTTATATAAAGATTCAATTAAATTTTCTACTATTATTATTCTTAAGCAATTTTTATGTAGATTATCAAATTCAAAGTTTATTGAGTCTATTAATAAGAATCAATGCACAAAATTTTAGTGTCCTTATGTAATTTTAAGGTTGCAAATACAAAGTTCTTGTCTGAATTTGTGAATTTTTTTTTATCCAATGGCTTGGTCATGATGTGAACAACTTGTTTTTTATGTAGAGACATAAAATACTTTTATTACTCATATAAGAACATTTTCACAAATGCAGTGATGCTACACTTCAATGTATTTTAATCTAGCATGACATATTAGATTTACAATTGATTTAATTATACTCTAGTTATCACAAAAAATAGAAATTGGTTTATTTATTTATTTATTTTATTTTAATCCTTTGCATAAGTCTTTTTAACAAGTTAGCTTCTTTGATGCCTTTTGTAATTGCTTTTATCTTTGCATTTATAGATAATATTACTATTGTTATTTTATTTTTGGATGCTCAAGAAATAGACCTTTCATTGACTTGAATTCATATACTATACATGATTTTCAATCATTTGGATCATTTATCTAATCATCATCTATGTATCCTTGAATTTTAGTGCTCTCATTTGATTGATAAAAAATCCCAAAGTCTAGTGTCTCTATCATACATTTGAATACATATTTTGCAAGTTCAAGATGTGCTTATCTTGGTGAATGTATAAATCGACTTAGGAGTCATGTGGCATATATTAGATTTGATCTTGAATTTAATATATAGATCGATTTTCCAACCAACTTTTGATAGTATGTTGCATTGATGATTGGTGATTCTTTCTCTTTCTCTAACTTCAATGCTTCAAGCATTAGTACAAAAATTTGATTACTATTGACCATATGAAATCAACAAGTATACTTTTTGCATAAGCTTGCTAAGTTAAGAAAAGACCCTTATTGGTATGTATGAATTGAACACCTAGATAGAATTACATCTTGCTTAGATTTGTCATATTGAATTTTTTTATTAATTACATCTTTAGCCACTTGATTCTATTATAATTTTTGCTTGTTAGGAGTAAGTCATCTACATATAGAATAAAATTATAACCCCATCTTTATCTTTCTGATAATACAAACAATAATCAGCTTTTGTACAATATATTTTGTAGTTAAGTAGAAATTTTTTAATTTTTTCAAACCAATGACGAGGAGCTTGTTTTAATCCATATATAGATTTTTGTAGTAGACATAATTTGTGTGTAATATTAGGCTCAATAAAACCTTCTAGCTAAACCATGTAGACTAAATTATGAATATTACCATTATGAAAGGTAGTCTTTATATCAAGGTGAATTAATTCCTATTTTATATTGATTGTTATGGTTAGAATTGTTTTGATTATATTCCATTTAGCAACATGAGCAAACACTTTAGAATAGTCAATTCCTTCCCATTGCTAAAAACTACATGCTACTAGTTTAGCCTTAAACTTTGTTGGCTTATCATTACATCCAAATTTTATTTTAGAAATCTACTTGGCTATTAGAAGTTTTAGTCCTTCAGGATAATCTTCTAAGCTTCAAGTTTTTTTTATAAATAATTTAGTTTTTTTCAATCTAAATCACATCTTCCCAAGTAGAAGATCTTATAGCTTTAGAATAAGTTAATGGATCAACAATAGCAATTGATTCTTCAGTAAGACCATAAAAAATAATCACATGTGAGAGTATTGATTTCAAAGTTACAATTTACGATTTCTACATAGCTATCTTAAAGTCAACTTAAAGACTTGCATTCTCAAGAAAGAAGAACAATGATGTGTTGATTAATGAAATTTTGATTCTTTGTTGATTTTTGTTGGCTTTTGGAAGCATGCAAAAGTACTAGATTTACTAGATTAGATATTTGATCATTGCTTAATAATGTTGGATTTGATACTAGGTATTCTATTATCTTTGAAGGAATGAAGGTGGAATTTTTAGCATTGTTTACTCTATCTGAATTAGATGTTGAGTGATAGTTGGTTGATAGATTTTTTAAAATTAATGGTTCATCACATTTAATATTTCAAGTGACAATTAGTTTATGTTAGCTTAGCATTTAAGACTTGTATACTTCACTTTACTTATTATATCCAACTAAAATTCCTTCTATAGCACTAGATTTTTTTAATATGTATGCTTTAAATCCATAAGTTCTAACATAACTTATGGTGGATTTACTTTTTGTAAAATGTTGATATGGAGTCATGGAGTTTGGATTTGCTATTGTCAAAGACCAATTTGTTAAGTATACAATAATATTCATTGCTTTAGTCCAAAAGGATTTTGAAGTACCTCCTTGTATTACAATAGACTAAATTTTGTTTATAAGTGTATGATTCAGCATCTTAACAATATTTTTATAAGAGGGTGATTTGGTAGTTATAAGCTCCATTTAATTTCTATTATTAATACAAAAAGAAATTATTTTTTTCTTGATAAATTTTTCCTTGCAATTTGATTGTAGTGCATATACTTTGTTTTTTGTTTTGATTCTAAATGATCTTAATAAAGTTCGGGATTTGTTTCGAAGCATCTGATTTCTTGCAAAGAAATTCCACCTATACCATGTAACTATATTTGTCAATAATAATCAATAAGTACTTAATTCCTCTAAGCAAAGGTATCAATATAGGTCCAGCTAAATTAATGTTTAATAGTGCCAATATTTTATTTGCTCTAGTCAAGTTTTTTTCCAGGAAGGATTCATTTGCTTGTTTGCCAAATTAACAAGATGAACATATATCAATTAGCATGGGAATATATAGAATTCTTATATCTAATCTTGCAAAAAGAGTGTATCAACTCTGATGAATAAGATGGGCTTGTAAGAATGCCATATTCTAGCTAAATATTTCGTAATTGATAATAATAAATATGTTTTGTAGTTGCTTTCTTTTGCAATCAGTTAACATAAACTATTCTTTTGATTCTTGATTTCTTTGGCAATTGGTGCTTCTGAATATTTTGTATATAGTATACATTTGGATTTATCAAAGCATGTGATATATCTAGAGTCCATGAGTGAATCAATAGATAGCAAGTTCTTTTGTATTTTGAGGACATACAAAACATTTGCTACTTTTTTTTTATTGAATTGTCTGTTAGCTGAAACTTAATTGTGCCTTTTTTGGTAATTGAATGAATATGACTGCTTGCGGTCCTAATATATATACATATATATACATACATATATATATATATATATATATATACACACACATATGTACATATATACATATACATACATACATACATATACATATATATATACACACATATGTACATATATACATATACATACATACATACATATACATATACATACATACATACACATACATACATACATACATACATACATACATACATACATACATACATACATACATACATACATATATTTCCTTTTCTTTTCTAGAAACATGTATGGTGGCACCTGTATGTATTAAGGTACTATTTGAATTCCTCCCTTTTTACACCGAGTGCAGCAAGAGCGGCTTCAAACATGGTGCCATCTTTGACATTATCAGTTTCTTGATTTTCTGGATCTTCATTGTAAAACCATGCTTGTTCTTTGTTCTCTATTATATGTGCCTAGGCCTTTGTCTGTTATAACGTAATTCTCTAATCAGCTTCCAACTTGCGGATATCAGAAAGATGCTTGGGACACATGCGGATCTAGAGGTCTTTGGCTCCACAATTGTTACATGATCCAACTCCTTGCAGTTGAGAGAACCTATGTCTTGGAATATGTTGAGTAGCATGTTGTTTCACGGATCGGTTATTGAACCTATTTGCTCAAAAATACAAGGCCTAGATATTAGAAAGTGTTCTAGGTGAGCAAACCTACCTTCTACTTTCTTCAGGCATCAAATTAGTTTGAAGCTAGAGTTGGAAACTTTCCTCTAGTATTCCATAAAATGATTGTAACTATCTGATACAGCTTTCATAACAATTTGAACTAAATCATCATCAAAAACTATAACTCCAGTTGTTGCTAGTTTTGCAATAATATCCTGGATTTTAACAAAATATTGTTCAAATGATTTGCTGTCATTTATCATGATTTGAGCCAGTCAATTACGGAGCTCAAACCTACGGTTGTCAAAAGTAATCTCGAAGGTGGACTTAAGAGTACTCCATAGTTGCTGGAGATCCTTGAAGGTTGTAAGGTTTTTCAAGACTCCCGATTTGATCGACATTGTCATAATGTACAGTAACCTTTTTCTTTTATCATCCAGTTCTGAATCTTCAATCACGTTGCTTTTGGAGGAGCTACGTTTTGCATCGTTGAGCAAGATTCAAAGCTTTTCACGCTTAGCAATTTGAATTATCAAGTATTTCTAGAGGTAGAAATTTTTATACCCCGTTAATCTAACCTTCTCGGGCAGAATAGAGTCCTGTGACATATTTCTAAGTATACTAGAGCAATGTAGCTTGTTGTGAACAATACTCTTTCAAACTCAGAATCAAACAAAAACTAGGTTTGATATATGAGCAGAAAACAAAAGAAGAACAAGCACTGTATCATGATTTGCAAGAAAGTAACATACCTTCATTGTCTTAGCCGTGTCGGTTTGATACCATGTGAGAAGAAATAATCCAAACAAATAACTTCATATCGTCAGAGAGTAATGATAAGAAAACAAGTATAGAATTCACTTCTACAATAGTATGTATATATATATATATATATCCCTTCGTTGTTATCTTAGGCGGTTACTTTCATCGTCAGACACAACAACTACCAGTTCTGATCTTATCTTTGAACAGTCTAAATATGAATTTCCAATTCTTAACATATTTGCGTGCGGGGTAGAATACCAGCATGTGCCTTGGCTCAGCAAGATACTCGTATAATACCCGTTTTGGATTCCCTGCTCCATTCAAGCAACAAAAGCAGTGCCATCGTTGATGTTACTCGGACCCATTTGTCGCCACCGGGGTTTCACACCAAGCCATTCGGTGTAGCCCCGAGCATTCATCTTACATTGCTTGTGTAGGGTGTTTGCGTCAGCCCAAGCCTGGCATGACGGAGCAAACTCAACCAGTACTCTTCCCTTGTGTCCATTTTTCCCACGTATTGGTCTGAAGGTGTGACTCCCCATGTTAGCCAATGCAACTACAACCACAAAAAAGTTTAATCTGTTGACAAGAAGTTCAGAGTCTGGGAAGAATCACTTCATTTACTCCGCTGAATTCTTTCAACTTACTCTAGTGACATGCGTACCTACGAAAACCTCGGCGGGTTCAATCGCATCCACGCCCTTCCATAATCCATCCAGACCTTTCTCTGTGCGGGTGTTTTCCAAAACCAGCACAGGAGGCCATACAATTGCATCCTCAGCTGGCTTTTTTAAGGCTTTATCAGGACCTTTATTGTCATGATCTAATGCAGCTGCATCAGAGTTCATGAGCTCGCAGATTGCCGGGGCATATCCTCGGTGCTCAGCCATCTTGATCCTCTTCATGGTCTTAGCATGCGACACTGGTGCCTTCACATCTGGGACACGTTTTGTTTTCCTGAACAAACGATTATCACAGGCTACTAAGTGCAATGCAACAGATTTTGATTGCTGCATACACTCTAATTACATACAACATGGAGCTGTATAGTCACCACATTAAGGAGTCAATTCAGGGCTATAAATCTTAGATTCAGGCTACAGCAAAGTTTGAAGCTTAGAAATGCGAAGACTCAACGTTCCTAAATAGCTTGTGCCTGTTGCCATTTAGAATACCTTACCCTTCGAGGTTTCAGACATCACAAGGTAATCAAGCGGCGGATTTAAATCCTTCTTTCCAGCTCTTATCATCTGCAAATAATCTCAGGTATCGTATTACAGCAATTTCCTCCCTCTCGCAGGCTTCATCATCATAAGCTTGATCATTTTCACTTGTGCATACTGTGTCGAAGGAGCTTTCAGATATCTTAGAAGCTCGTGCAACGGACTCCTGGTAGAGTGGAGATAGTTTCCAAGCAAGTGCTTTCTCGGTCTTTAAACCTATCAGCATTAGATTTAGATTGGATTAAACAGTCATGTGCAGTGCCATGACGAGATCTTCCTGACCGACGTACAGGTTGCCCAACAAAAATGTTCAATGAGCAAACAGATCTTTATGAATCTGTGGTAATAGTGCCTGTCTCTAACCTGTGAAGAGGAACGTTACAAGTTTTAACATCGAACACTTGTGATTCCTGTCACTTTGTATGGGTAGTATACCAATGATGTCTTCTTTCTAGTTCATGCACACAAAAATTGGGGTTATTGGTATCAAGGAATTAACCCCTCTTCGCCTTCAGATAAATTTCTACGTTCAATCTTTAAGAGATGATGGGGTTTGACGAGTAATCGTCATGAAGCCCTTTAAGTACAGACGCCGGCAATTGTCAAGAAAGGTGCGGTGTCAAGTAAAGATTCTTACTTGGATGAACGAGATCCTCATTCGATACGATAATTTCGTAGTCTGGAATCGCGCCTCGATCCTCTCCTAATTCTGGATTGCCACCTTTGCCGATGTGGTCAATAGGATACGATTGAGAGCGCTCTCGGAAATCAGTTCTTTGTATGGCATGATGAGCATGTCTGCTGTCGATAGAGACGTCTTTTCAAAAGTGATGTCTTAGCCCGTTTATATGTGAATGAGCAAAACCTTCTAAACCATAGGGTTCTGGGGAGAGAGATACATCAGAGCTGTCGATTCTTTTCAAACGACCAAATATAGTGCGCGATGGGGTTGAGAGTTCCTGGGGCCTTGATTCAGCATCTGACTCTAACATAATTTCGTCACCTCGTAAACCAAGACCTGCCTCTGGAGGTCCATCTTGTTTAAGCAATCCCATTTCTCGACGTTCAGCATGCGCACTACTGTGCGGGATGTCGGATCTAATTTATCTCTTGTTAGACCATTGGTAGAAGCGGGCAAGTCCTGTCCACAGATCCCAGAACCTTCATCAGATTTCAAGGGTTGGTTTTGAGTTGTCCGTGCTCCGACTCGTCGAGTCCTTCTCCTTATCCTCAAACCATCCCTTGATTGATGACGACATTTAATGATGGACCTATCTTTGCGATCGGTCAGATGTCGATGATCTGCGTAGCCGCTTCCTTTCTCTCTGTGTTGACCGTGAGCACTTCCTCGTCCTTTATGATAACCATCCTCTCTGCTTTGTTTGAGTTGCTCATGCTCATGCGCTCCAAATCGATTTTCTGCTTTTCTGTCACTCCCTTGTCTTGCCTTCTCGATTTCATTCCAATTTCTACTGCGACAGGCAGGACGCTTCACAACATGAGGTGAGTCAGTGCGCAGGAGGTTATCCCAGGGCGAAAGGGAGACTTCGGGTGGCGTCGATCTCTCTGCAATTACAGTGGAACACGTAATTGCGATGCATTCATCGGATTGCATAATATACTCAGAAAATATTGATTGTCGAAGGCATTGTGAATCAGTTCTTAGAGACGAGAATCAATGGTATCAATTTGATACATACCGAAATGCTTGGAAACTTCAAGCTGAACTACAATCCACAGAAGATCTGATGGCTGGAAGTCCCGAAAGCGTTGCTCGACAGCCAGGCCAGCACGCTCATCTCTGATGGTTCCGCACATACGATAGTTCGACCTTAGATCAGTAGCTGGAAATGAATCAGAGTTATTTTTTGATGTAGCAAGCTGCCCCGTCACATTTTTCAACAGATCATTTGAATCGGAGGGAGCTGCAGTTGCATATCTTGCGTCGCTACTTGCTTCTCCCCCTTGGAATTCGTAAACGCTGAGCCTCTCTGCCCCTTCAGATCAAACCAATTTCGACTTAATCAGTACTTCGGATGTCCAGAATTCTCCGCGAATATTCGGAGTATTTTGAGAAACGATGATAGAAACACGTTTAGGAGATTACAGTGGCGCCCGGCCAAGTTTGCCAAGTTCCAGACAGAACCGATGAACAACATTACTAGTGGTGTTGACCTTGAAAAAAGAAATGAGTTGGATACTTTGGTGCAAGCCACTGCGAGCAATCGGCCAGATCTTCCGACGAGCACGGGCGAGCAATGGGTGTCCCACCAGGGGTTGCCAACGCAAATGCAAAGTGTGTGGTGTCCCCCAATCGGATTTTGTGAGCAAATCTTACTGATTGATTCCTTGTCGCCGTTCCTCATACTTATCAACGCAATAAAAACTGGTGCATCAGTTTTTATTACATTCGGTGGAATATCATCTCAAATTAACGTACATGAAAAATGCCATGCATTGTTCTCGAAATCCTCCTATTAGACACGACATGAAAATCAGGGCAGGCATCTTTACAGTTAACCTTATGGATACAATTTAGAGGATTGTGTCTCAGGTGTCTCTGAAGGCAGTGTATTGCTCAAGCCATATTCTGTGACTGCTGTCTGTACTCACCGTTGCCGTGAAAGTTAATTCAATTCCTTGGATCATCTCACTGTCGGGTGGGGTCCCATAAAAATCTCAAGCACTCTGGACGTCTTCAGATTCATGTGTTAAGAAAATCATGTAACCGTGAAATGTCCTGGAAACTATCAGAATATAGAACAGTGTGTGAATATCAACACCAAAGGCCACTTTGACTGCGATTGTTATATTGCATCTCAGGAACAATAGTTCATTGTCACGGAGTTTTAACGTTGCTAAAAACATTTCACCCCAACACAGCAGGAATGCTACTTGAGGACAAGTAGATCCCCCAAGAATGCCAGTTTTGGAAACTCGAGTGTCATCTCCATGGCAGAAATTGCAAAAGAACCATGTCTGAGGACTGCTCTTGGAATTTGTCGGATGATGCTTACAGCTTCTGTCATTAATCATATAATTTTACCTATGCTGGTGGGTGGCATTCCTTCACAACGTAATGCCAGCGTCCAGTGCTTGTAGCTCGTGCAGCCTTCATTGAGGACATGAACAGGGTGACAACTGAGAGCTAAACTGCAGCTCATGAAAGCTCATCCATGAGAAAGCCGTCCTGACGTTCCTGGTACTGATTCTAAAAACCCATACCCATGAACCATGTCGAGAGCAATAAAGACCCCCTGCAAACAAGAACCGCAGGGGCACACTTCAACAAAGAGTACGACGTCGTCCTCCTCGTCCTCGTCCTCGTCCTCCTCAACCCCTCTTTCAAAAACCACTTTAGCTGCCCTCTAACAACAGTCGATTTCAAGCCGCCTGAACACAACAGTAGCACAAAAATACAAGGTCAATCGTGTCAGTGGAGTACTATAAGAAAACGTGGGACTCCTCCGCTCGGTCATTTATTAAGTGAAAACCCTAGACGCAATCGAAGGGGGTAGTTGACCCATCCCCACACTCTGAAGGTGTCAGCAGGAAGTACAACTTAGCAAGGAATCTAAAGCAGGAATGAGAATCGGAATCGGTAACAATGCATGGCATGACATGGCCAGGGCGGGTGCAAAAGGCGTGCTGGCAACAGAAATGCAAAAGAGCGGAGGCTATGGCGATGGAAGAAGGGATGGAGCGTTTAGCTGGTTGCACCATTATTTTTATCCCACCTTACGCATCCATTCTCCATTTTATTAACTTACTTCATGGATTCTCAATCTTATAAAAATCGTTACATAATTTTAGGGTTACAATTACTTTGTTTTGATGCTATTCTGTTTACATGTATGTATACACACAAATATATAGAACAAAATGGACGTTTGTTTCATGAATATGGATTGACAATTGTTTATTTATTTGTTGAATGTACTTAGGATGAAAGCTATTAAAGGTGGGTAAAGAGAAAATTGCTTAATTATTTTTGGATGTTGAAGTGGATGCAAATTTGGCTTCTGTCTATGGAGACACAACATTGCATTGGGCTGTACAAACCTTGCCTATTGAATCAGATATATCAATTATAGTTTTCATTGCATTTTTATATTAATTACTCAATATTTGTGTTGATTAAAACCAAATTTGAAAACTATTTTTTTTGGAACAAAAGATGTTTTTTTTTTTTTTTTTTTTTTTTTTTTTTTCTTTCGCTTGATTTTGAGCTTTTTGCAATTGTATTTGATTTTCAACATATTTATTCTTATTTAGGTATTGTACAAGAATTTTTTAGATATTGTTCACGAACTTATTATTGAGGTGCAAATATGGATGTGCCACACAAGAGTACAAAAACACTCCATTGCATTTGGCATGTAGTAATAATTGCCATGAAATTATTTCATCATGAAAATATTTTTTGTGCTCAACAGCATATATTTTTGAAAAGTGCACTAGTTTATATATATATATATATATATATATATATATTATTGAAATGAGTAACAAGAAAGAAAATGTATATATATATATATATATATATATACATTGTACTACAGTGCATAATGTATATTTCTTAACTAATATTCCTCATTTACTTAATACAATTTGCTAGAATGGAGGTTGCTTGTAGGTTGTAAGCTTATAATCTTGTTTTTTTTGCATATTTACAAAAAAAGAAATATATATATATATATATATATATATATATATTTGAAGGATTGATTTCTTTTTAACATTGATAAATGTAGGTCTAACAAGAATCAAGATCATTTGTTTGTGCATTTTTTGTTTAGAATTGTTAAATTTTTATGTTCTTTTTGAGTCATCTTCAATTGGAAAATTTGATTTTGTTCCATACACACAATGTTCAACTTCATCTAATATATATATTAGGATTTTAAGTGCATTAGTGGATTGAAGTACATGTAGAGAAATTTGTCATTTTTGATTAAGAATGAGAACAAATTTAATAGGCAATTCAAGGTGGAATCGAAAGACTTCTTACATATAGCAAGTTTGTTAAGATGATGTGTAGTGATTCACAAGAATTTGTCAAGGGAGATCTTTTTGAAGTTAAATTTCATGAAGGTTTATATTAGTTTGTTGTCATATCAAAGATATTATATAGATAATCATAGCACATAATGTAAAGGACCTTATTGACCAATTTTTTTAAATACTTCACAATATCCAAGTTGACTATCTAGTATGACTATTAGAGTTTGTGCACTTAATTTGGATAATATTTAGAATACAAGACATACAATGATTATAAAATGTATCAACATTGCATATCCAAGAACAATTAGAGAAAAACCAAAGAAAATAAATTTCTAGAATAAGAGTAATAAGCTCCTTATAACATCTACATCAATTGTAATATAACTATTTTAAATTCATCAAATCAAGTTCTACCTATTTGTGACATAAAGATGTTAATTATAAGCAATGCATTCTCAAGGAAAGATAAGAAAATCTAAACAAAACTTTGTCAAGCTATCTTTTACACCACAAAGGGAGAATCTAAGAGTGCAAGTGTATAGAAGAAATTCTAAACTTTACTCAATGGCTAAATTACAATAGCTAAGCAAAATCTTAAAACCATGAGTTTTCTCTCTCAAAAACGTTCACAAGACTTGAATTGAAAAGAATATCAAGTCAAAGGTGTTTCTCTACTTAAATCCTCAAATCCTAATTGATACTAACAAGGTCAACTAACATTTAACACTAAATGTATAAAAACCCATTAACTAAATTAGACTACATTCATTTGACATGATTTAGCACCCAATGCTACATCATATGATATCATCACAAAGTTGGATTGTAATTATACCAAACTTCTTTCTATGTATACAAATATGTATTTAAAGAAAGGATGAATTTTGAGTAAAAAATAAATAATTTACCAAAAATATCCTTTCAATTGGTCAAGATATTTACAATAATTTTTTATTTTTATTTTTATTTATTGGATGAATAATTGGAAGAAGATGTAATTAAGAAAGACATGGTAGTTTTTTCTCATAATCTACAACAATTAATTTGATTATTTTGTTGGAAAAAGTGGAAATTCATTTGACATTGACATTCCTGCATGGTAAATTCTTTTAGTTTCTTTCAGTGAAAAAGTTGGACTTATTTTTGATCATTTAATACTTGTTGTTTCAACCTAGTTGTCAAAATCAGAAGGCTTTAACATCCACAACAGCAATGTGCTCATATATTTAGAATCTAATATTAAAAGGACGTGTTTATCAATAATATCTGTCAAAAAATATTTTGTAAAACATATGAAAAAACAATATCATATTGATACTTGTATTTCACTTGGTGTCAATATTATTTTAGGTATTAATTTACAAAGTATTAGGATAGATTGAAAACAATTTTTTTTCTTGAAAATAAATTATACCAAAACAATAAATAAAAATAAAAATAAAAAAACAATGTCTAGCCTCTACAGTTCAAACAACTAGACTATATTTTAAGAATTTATGAATTTTGTAACTTTTTATTAGAATATATTTTTGATGCATAACGCCTAAAATTACTGTAGAAGATTTCAAGCAGAAATTTTTGGAATCTTGAACATGATTTTATACCATCTGTAAATATCTATCCGTACTATCTTTTCAAAATACTAAACATTTTTTTTTTTAAACTAATTATTTTGTAAAAAACTTCAAGTATTATCTGGTTGTATTTATATCCATAAAGGAATGAATATCACCAATGACTACCCTGTTTTTCAATTGAATGTTACCCAATCTTTCAATTATTTAATTGACTATTTTACAATTTACAGAAGATTCAGACTAGTATTTTCTTAGTGTAAATTTTATTTTCTACAATCAGTTCAAAGTATCTAATTGCTACAATTTATATATTCCAGTGATTAAGATATTTGTAATCATTGTCTGATTATTTGTTGCATTAGTGGCTAAATACCATCAAATAGTATAACTATAGTCTTTGTAGGATTATGAAACATGTTCTTGATTGATCCTAATATCTTTAGGGAATAATGTTATTTAATAAGATTTTTATTTTAAATTTGAACATAAATGTGTGAGTATAATTATAATAATGAAACTAAAAAATCTGGAGGAATTGAGGTATATTTGGCATGCCATTTTTTAGTTGCATATCAAGAAGTTATCTTTGAATTGGAATACATATATATATTTGAATTTTTTGACAAATTTATTTAAGCATGTAAATCTATAAATAAATAAATGTCACATTATAAGCTGCTTTTGGATGGATGGTAAATTTATCGACTTTTAAAAAGTTTTAATGGCATGGACACCATGGAGGTAACTAGAAAGCAACAATTTCATTATTAAATTAGAAAAGAAATAGAGCTAACAGCATTTTAAAATTCTCCGGAAATATATTAATAGTTTTTTCTAATGGTTAGATTTCATGATGTTTTATGTGTATAATGGTATTAATTAAAATACTTTAAAAAGGCAAATTGTATTGGTAAAATTTATAAACATGGCAATGAAAATTTTGAATTTCTAATGAGAAATATGAAAAGAGAGGTTTGAATTAGATTATTATTTGATGAATGAATAAACAAGTGGGGCCTCTCACAGTATGTGACAAAACTTAACGATGAATTTTTTTTTTATCATAGAACTCAGAATTATATGGACCACCTTTAACTTTACAAAAAGAACATTTGTTATTCAATTTCAAACTCTGTATTTATGTATCTCTACAAGTTCATTTTGAAAAAAATATATATATGATTTTTTAAATACAATGGTAGAAATGTTATAAAATATGAAGAAGTTGGAGTAGCTATTGGACTCACAAGAACCTGGATGATGCATGAAGATACTAACATAACAAGTGATATTCAAAAATAAAAATAAAATAAAAATAAAAATATTGATTTTTCTGCAGAATATATCAGCTGATTGAAAGCTCTAAATTTATTTTTGGAGCATAAAGTAATTTAAATGGATCTTATTCAGAATTAAAGTACTTTTAGATTATACAATGAAATTGAATTTATGAACATAACTTAACAAAAAATCACACAATTGCTGCAGATCTTTTCACCACCTTGATTAAACACCAAATTGAGCTAAATTGTGAACCCTCAGTGAAAATTGATTTAAGTTGCACACATGAAGTAAAAAACCACCATTCATCCAAATAATAATAACAACTATAACAAAAATGAATATTTTTTTTATTAAAAACAATAAACAAACAAAGGCTTATTTTACATCACAAAACAACAACCACAAAGGAAGTGTCATGAGGCACCTCAACTCTCAGCAAAAGACAGCCTTTCATCACTCAACCCACTCCAACACAAACCAAATCAACAGAAACACATCAAACAAAAGCAACACCCAGTATCACTTTCCTTCTCTTCCCCAACACAAACTGACTAATCCCCAACATTCAACATTCAACAAATCCTCAATTTCCTGCTCAAATGTTTGGGTTTGAAAGCTCAAATCCACCCACACACAGCTTTCCAACAAACCCAGAAAACCACCCTTCCACCACCACCACCATAAAAGGAGTATGTATCCAAAGAATGATGGTATCCATGTGCTTGCTTTCACTCCAAACAGGGGATGATGGCCTTGTGGTGATGGGTGGTAGCACTGGAACCCAAGGCAACAAAGAAAACAAAGTGGGCAGTTGCAGCATGCAAAGGGTGATGCAAGATGAAGAGCATGGCATGCACAGAACGTTAAGGAGGGTGAGTGTGTGAGTGAGTTGGTGGGCGCAGCAGCAGCAAGAGCGGAGAAGCAACGGAGGGTGATTCCAGGGGGGTTTGGTGAAGGGGATGTGGTGGAGGAGGAAGAGGAGGAGTGGGGCCATGGAGAGAGGCAGTGTGTTGTGTGTTAGTGGGGGAGTGGGCCGGAGGAGGAGACAAGGTCTGTGTCTTGGTCGAGGAAGTGTCAGAGCTGCTGCGGCTGCTGCTGTTGTCTGGGTCCCTGTCGCCATAGCTGCCGTGCTACTCCATGGAAGGAACACCCTTGTCTGGTTTACTTCTGATACATTCTTTTCACCCTGTACACGACTCTCGTGTGGCGTCTTCGTCTTCTCCTGCTTCGTCATCACGCCAGTGGTTTGCATGAACTGGGAAGCACAGGGTGGTGCTGGTAATGCCGCATATACTGCTCCAATTCCTTCCAGACTCATGGTGTTTTCCTTTTTCTTTTTCTTTCTTTTTTTGTTTGACGCAAGGAACTCGGTTTGGGTGCTTGCCCCACGGATTGTGGGAGATAGATGCGGTTTGCAAGACTGTGTCATTGACTTAACTCTATCCTTCAAGAAGTACCTGCGCACAATTCGCCGTCTTTATCTGAGTTGGTAGCAGTTCTTTGGAGGAATATGACACGTTTCTGGTGATTCCATTATATTGTAATTTTCAAGCTACTATTCTATCTCCATCCCGAATTCATACCCCTTTACGTCCCATTCGTGCATAGGCTCAAGTCTTATTAAGCATTTCAAAGGGTGCAGAAGTTTTCTGAAGAGGCGAAACTCTGAGCTAGACTATCAGAAAGGAGAGCTACCCAATTCTTTTACTTGTAAACTTGTCTTTTATTCTTTTTTCTTTCACTTCAAGTTCAGCTTCTGAGAACATGTAGTGGGTCCCCACTGTATGACTCTTATTCTTCTCACACGAGTGGAGCTGACCTGACGTTATAAATGAGAAAGCAATTGAATCAGAAGCAAGCCTTAGTTCTTGGAAGACCTGGAATTCATTGAAGGATTCATGAATGTTGAGAGAACCGGTATGATTGTCTTCTGTCATTTTCGATGGAGTTGTGGTTAGGATTTAAACCATGCACACTCTGGATTGTTGGCAACTCGTAGGAGTTGTGGAGGCTGAATTGAAATCGTTATCGTTACTGAAAGCTAATGAGCGTTGCTAATCTGTTACAGTTACAGATTTTCAAGAATAGGTGGATGAGTGATCAATTATTTTTTTAGTTATTATTGCGTGCGCACCGAGTGGAGATTGATTTTTATCTGCAGACAAATCTATTTGATTGATTTCATCTTTCTTCAGGTGGTGACTCCGATGTTTTAGCAGCGGTACTTCCTTGGAAATCTGCACCAGCTGATAAGTTTACCTCCATCAAGTGCTCTCACGATTTTTCAAACGCTACAAATTCGACCACGCCGCTGATTTCTTACTACCAAATCTGAATTGGTCGACACACTGGACATGGCGGTTTCCATGAGCGACGCGAATACCTCAATGCATGCAGGGCTTGTGTCGCCCTTACCTCAAAATTCGACGCAATTACCCCAAGAGTTCGTTGAAGCAGATCAAAAGCACTTATCAAATGCAGAATTGGAATCGACAGAGGATCCAGAACTTGACTTTCCAGTTCTGGATCTTTCCTTGCTCAGTGGCGACAAAAAGCACCACGATGAGGTTATCACTGCAGCCGCTGAAGCCTGTCAAAACTGGGGGTTCTTTCAGATTCAGAACCACGGAATCGATCAGAGGCTAATTGAAAAATGCAAGGAGGAGGCACTTCGGATGTTTCAGCTTCCTCTCGAAGCCAAGAAGAGATGCGATCGCCCCCCTGGAACCTCCTTCGGATACGGCTCCAATACCTGGGTCAACCAGAAGGTCCAGCACTGGGCTGAGAGCTTCCATTTGCAGCTCAAACCTATGTCCAACGTCCCAGCAATGGCATCCAAGCTTTTTCCAGATCAAACATCCAGCCAGCAATTCAGGTCAACACTAAAACCATGTCTACGACTTTCTAATCCATCGAGATTCAACAAGAGTTTTAACACTGATGTGTGCGCAGCTCAGTCGTTGAAGAATACATGGAGACAGTGCAGAATCTGGCAATTCAAGTGGTGGAGATTCTCACCGAGGGGTTGGGTTTGCCTCCAGCCTACTTCAGTCAGCATCTTCAAAGAGAGAGAATGGTATCTATGCGGCTCAACTTCTACCCCCCTTGCCCTGAGCCTTCCAAGGCAATCGGCCTCCGAGCTCACACCGACCCCCATCTAATAACAATCCTGCACCAAGACACCGTTCGAGGGCTTCAGGTTCAAGTTGCAGAGAAGTGGGTGACTGTCAAACCAAGGCCAGATTGCTTTGTGGTCAACATAGGTGACATCTTTCAGGTATGCAGAAACACTCTACACTTCTAAACCTCATGTTTTTGTCATACTCTGGGTTTGTGCTGTAGGATGAACACGCTCAGTGTTTGCTGTGAGCAGATATTGAGCAACACAAGGTACAAGAGCGGGCTGCACCGAGCAGTTGTGAACGGCCAATTCCAGCGTTTATCCATGGCATGCTTTCTGAATCTACCACTAGACTGTGTTGTAGCAGCCCCTCCTGAGCTCATCACCACAGATTGTCCTCAGAAATACCGGCCTTTCCTATGGCTGGAGTATCTCAAACACGCTTATTTGTATCACCCCATAACTGGAAACGACCGCCACGAGAAATTCTTTTTGAAGCCATCTGGTGATATCCCAGTCGCGGCCTCTTCAGTTCATTGACCAGCATCACAAGTGTGGTGGTATTTATTTACAATCAAAGTTGATATTTGGCAGTGACTGTGTGCTCTTGAACCAGGTTTACAAACAAAGTGGATCATTTTAGAGGTGTGAGAAAAAAGAAAACGGCATCAGGGATCGTAAAAGACCTTGTGATTTCAGTTGTATCAATAGCTGAAATATGAGAATTAGTTTCAAGTACTCATGAATCGATGTTGTGGGTGCATATTTAGTGAAGTAGTAGGGAAGAAAGGATTTCATCTGTAGAATAAGATGAGACTTTGAGAGGCCTTTTCATTGGCTGGGATTATTGCAGCTATTGTGTAGTTACTTTATGGTAACAAAACTTGACGTAATATACTCTAATCATATTTTTATTAGAATATGACAATTATTTATTTTTAAGCTTTTGTTGTTCCTTTGGAGGACATAAGTTGTATCGTCTAATTTTCAATGGTTTTATCAAAATGAATAATCATTTACAGAGAGGATTATGACACAAGGTGTTTTTTGAAGATATTTTGTAGCTTTAATAACTTGGTGCTTTTGTCTTTATAGATGGTCAAATGTTTGATTAAATTATCTACATTAAAAATTCTACACACATGCCAATTTCATCATATAGGATGTATTTTTTTGAAAGAAATATCTTCAAAGTAATAACATTTTATTTGATTTCAGTTTCAAGGAAGCGTAAATATACATGTATTCCATTGAGGTTATGATTTAAAAAAATTAATTTTATCATAATTAAATCTTAAATTAAAATAATATAACTTTAGTATCATTATGTATAGCCACTTGTGGATTCTAGCCACATTGATATAAACTTAATTTTTAATGCTATGTTGTAATTTTTCTAAAATAAAATTGCTTGTGAACATAATTTATATTTGTCTAAATAAATTTATTGTAGAGTTGGGATCATGGAAAAGAAGATTTTAAAGTTGAACTGAATTTTTTCAAACAATTTGAGGGTGGCAAACAAAGTTGCACTACAAAATATCAGGTAACAATCTAGTAAGCATAAAAAATTCATAAATTTGTTTGTTGTTTTGAATAGACTCTTCAAAGTAATTATCAATCAAGGATGATTTGCAAAATCTAAGATCTCACTAACAAATATATCCATTTTTTTATGTAATAGAAATGAAGACTTTTATAGAAAAGACCAACTTTGAAAACACAAACAAAAGAATTAAGAAAAACTTTTCATCGACATAAATTCTACTAAACTAGAATATAAACTTCTGTTCACTAGAAATAAAATTAAATTTTTTTATATATATATATATATATAGGTTAACCAAAATTTATATGGAATTTACATGAAATCTATTTGAAGAAAAAAAATCTAGTAGAATGCATAAAATCTATTTTTGTTCTTAATTGGCGCAAGTTTCCACTACCGTGTATACATTCTATTATGCAATTACTTATGCATATACAACTGACTTGTTGGTGCTTCCAAAACGAACATGAATGACACACATTGAGCATCAGAGTCTTGGCCATTGTCAAAGATATTTATGGCTTCCTACCCCACTCAACAGTGTAACTGGGAAAAGCTAAAGAAGAAACTCCTCAAAAGTCGCAAGTGTAACAGCTATTTGCCAAAATTGTCCGCAGGGTACTATAATGTGTTGAATTTCAACAGCAGAAAAAGAAATAGAGACATGCCTAAAAAAATTCTATTGGCACAACTGCTAAGGCTTTGAGTAGGATAAGTACGATTATGGTGGAACTGTGGGGCTAGAAGGAGGGAAGACTTTAGCAAAGAAAAAGGACAAAATAAATTAAACATCTTTTGTTGTAGTTGTATGAACTTAAGCTTCAAATGACAACTCAAAGTAAGTAATATGATTCTTTGTCGAAGTGACACATCATTCAAATATGATCCCCAGCTCCCCTATTTCTAAATTTCGAGACATGTGGGTGACGCAATGAGTCCAGTCAAAATTGTCAGCTGGCAACTAAGAGCACAGGAAACAAATAAAAAATACATGGTTAGAAAAGGTTTTTCTTGTTGTATTCACTTCTTTAGAATTCCCTAGATTTGAGGCATGTACTGTTTGCTATAAGTTAATCTAATTATGAATTTTAAACCAAACCTTGAAACATGGCATGTTATCGGAATTCATCAGTTGCCTTTGCATCTCATTACCCAGCACATGTGCTAAGGTTTGTGTGTGCAGAGAAGAGGAGACATCCTCTGGCAATGTGCAGACAAAGGTAAGAGTTTGAAAACAGACAACTAATTCAGTAAAGCTTGTCGCCTGTCCGCTGCAAGTACCAGCAAGCTGAGGCAATTCTATTTATCATCAGAAGCACTATTGACACGAACACAAGTATGAAGCAACAGCAGCTTCGTAGAATTATCTAAATCGACATTAAGCAAGATGGGATGTTTGATTGGAAAAAGATAATCCAACTTCCAGCGAATCACGGTATCTAACCACAGAATAAGAGGATCGTGGAAGGTCGGTGATTGGCAAGTCTTGTGGTAGATAGACAGCCTCTTTTGTTTATTATTTGATATCCAGACAATTCCTAGGACTGTTGGGCTATTTGAATAGGTATGTCCCTATGTTCAATTTTCTGTGCAACGTCATGCATAATATGAACCGTCTACAACACGACCATGAATCGTGTGCATTCGGTTGAAGGATCACGTTTCAAGCTAAAGTTGGGTGACTAGTCCATGATTTAGTGCAATAGTGTGAGCATGCCAAGTTCCAACGGTCATACCAAGCATGCAGGACAACACTACGTGAAAAGTAGAAAATACGGATCGTGAAATTAGAAAATAGGACAGTGTAAAACACTGATATAAAAGTAAAAAATTGCACCCTCAAAGTACCTGGAGAATAAATAATCTCAATTCTCGGTTCGTACTTGGACGCACAATGATCGGTATCGTGCTCGATCTCATCGGCAGATACATCTAAACCCTACACCTGCCAACGCTCAGTTCTGTTTTAATCACATGTAGCTAGAAGTATATACAATTAGATGGTTAACGAGGGGGTCTAATCCACAACCCCAATCTAATTCTTTCTAAATGTTGCTACTGTCAAATCGATAAAGACTGGAATGATTCTTTAAATAAGGCCCTTGCGTTACTACGTCTAGTTGATCCATTACCACTGCAGACACTTTTGGATGGGTTGTCTTCCGCGACTGGTAGCATTTTTCGCACACCTGAACAGGAAGTAGATGCCCTAGATCCTCTAATGGAAGCTGATGAGAATCAGAACATTCAAAACACAGAACGTGACCACAGTTTCTGCAGTAGTATCTCCTCTCACTTGCCATAACATGTGTGTCGCAGTTGGTGCATGTGTCGGACTGCACGGCAAGGGAAACAATGAACTTAAGATTCTCTTCAGTATTTGCTTCAATCTTTTCAAAAATTCGGCACAAAAATTACTCTTATCCATGCTTTACACTATTAACAATCTGCTGCTTATAAATAACAAGTTACAGAAACTATTCCCGTGTACTAATTTACAGAAAGAGATACAACAGAAAACTCACCTGTGAAAGTGATCCAAGCAGAGGTGGGTTCTTGGAGATATCATCCAATAAAGTCCATGAGACCACATGACCCCCACTATCACCACTGCACAGCTGCTTCAAATCGTTACCAAGACAAAGTGCTGTCACAGGCTCCTTATGCCATGACAGCACTTTAATAAGAACAAGCTGGAACTCAGGCGTCCCACCAGTGATACACATCTTGGTAGGGTCTTCTGCAGTCGCTATACCTGATTTCAACCTTCTGAGTCCTGAAGTCCCTGGTGGAACTATCCAACTGGTGCGGCCACTGTTCCCACGTTTAGCTGGGGTTGTATACGGATCACCACTCTTTGTGCGCAACAAAGACATCCTGTTTGTACTGGACTGACTGTCGAACTGCATGCGCCACAATCGGATCATCCCCGATTGATGCCCAGTAATATACCACCCTGCCTCTGTCCAGTCAGGGACTTGTGGACTTGTAATGGAAAGAATTGTATCAGAGTAGGCCTGCGAGGTATTTACAGCAGCTAAGCAGTCTCCGTTTATGCTCCAAACTGTCAGCACTGAGCCGACGGCTGTCACAACTTCACCAGTCATATCATTAATGTGAAGGGCGGTGGCAGGTGCTGGCAGCTCGGGCATTTGGCGAACGTACTCAAGTTTAGTCAAGTCCCAGAAAATGACAGTCTGATCCTTCGAAGCAGTCGCCACCAGACTGTACGAAAGGGAGACTGCTAAGCAAGTCACAGCTTGTGTGTGCGCACACAATGATCGTTGCAGATGAAGTGGTGAATTGTTGCTTGTGGGAACTGTGAGCCGCCAGACTGCTACCACTCCATCTTCTCCACCTAAGAAGCAGAAGCAGAACGGAGTTTTCAAGATTGTGATGAGGCATATTACAGGAAGCCTCAGGATGTAGTACATGTAGCCACCAATCTATCTATATACACACACACACACATAAATACATATAATTGGATATAATCTGCAGATATAACCTGGACGTTGTCTTACCTGTGACAAGGATCTGGCCATCCCTACTGAAGCCTGCACATGTTACAGGCCCGTCATCATGGAGATTCTCATGGGTTGAGAGCACTCTGTCTTGATCACAAGCCATTAACCGCAGACTGCGATCAGGGAAGCCCCATGCAACATATTTGTCATACGAGGGTGGTCGCAGTGCTCTATTTGTAGTGGCAATGTGAGGAATGTTTTGATGCAGCACAATCTGAGACACCCTTGATCCCATTGTACGAATCTCCTGCAAATGCAACGGAGAAGACCACAAGAAAATAAACTTAATAAGCTAACAAACAAAATACAGGACAAAATTTTAATGAAATCTCAGCATTCCATAAACGATAGAAATTGCAATCAAGCATTGAAACGCAAGTAGAAGCATGGTGATGAGTTTGATGGTTACCTGAGGAACAACAGTATGATAAGAATAGGGTATGAGTGCGAGAGCGGGCCTTGGGACCCATCTTCGTTTCGGGTGGGGCTTTGGAAACAACTGGCGGGGTGTCTGGCCAAAGTGATTGATTTGAGCCAGTATAGCAGCTTTCATGTTCGGATCGGGAATACTGTCGATATCAACTGCCCCGTCATATGTGAGGTAATAAAACACGTTTGTGGCATCAACTGCGGCCTGAAGACAACAGAGCCAATCAAATAAATATTAAGTTTCAGGTCTGGCAAACAAGTGATTTGGTGAGTCGGACTGGTCACGAAGCATTTACCAGTTGTTGCAAACAGGTGCAAATAGAAAGTCTGCACGGATTACAAATATCTCAATCATTACTACTCCCTTTGCGGGGTGATTAATTGGAAGCTTTAAGACTCGTAGAGAAGCCAAACATCCTGTTCAGTAATAGGTGAGGGCACCTTAATACCAACTTCAAGGTTCATCCGATATTACAAACCGATTGGTGTTGTAATACAACGTCTAAATTATATTATGCAAAACATTGCCTACAATAATTTCCAGCTTGGCTTTAGGGATTTACCTTGCCGCGCTGCTTAAACCCAAAGATGAGATCGATCCAGTGATGCAGATTCTCTGAGACATACTGAGATTCCAGCGCTTCACGATGCTTACGAATAAACTCTATTGCACTGCCTTTTGCCCACGGTGGCAACTGCACGTGGTCAATCTAGTAATTGGACAAAAACCATATCAGTAGTTCAGGATCTTGTTCTGCTATGAAAATTCTCTATTCAAAAACTAAGTTACAAGCACGCAAAGTGAAGAACTTCACCATCGATCACAAATATTTTCACGAATACCTTAGATTACAGTATACTCTGTAATACACAGTTTCTCACTCGGGCAAAATAATATATAACAGCATTGCGACTGTTCCTTAAAAAATTACCTCAACGATTCACCATTTAAATATCATACGATTCATTTATGATTATAAACCCAATCCGATCTCTTCAGGAGATTGTTCGAAAGGGTTCTCACCTTCTCTCCAGATTGTGTCGTACCAAGTTCTAACTCGCATCTGTTTTCTAAAAACTCTGGAAGATAGAAAAACTCAGGAATAAGCTCCTTAACATCAGCAGTATTGCCTTGACTGGCACCAAGCCATGTCTCTTGCAGGCTGCTGAACAAACGGTCAGCATGATCGAAACCCCCACCCTGAAGCTTCTGGTTTTCCCAGCTAAAAGGAGGGAGACGGATGAGGTAGAAGAGCACAATTCCTGCACTCGAATAATGACTACCATAATGAAATCTTGGGATATCAGAATCATCCCAATTCTCGAACCTGCGGAAGTCCAAATCGAGTTTAGAACAGTTAGATAGACAAGCTTATCTGTACATTTGTACACTAGTACCCACCATTGCCTTCAACTTTTGAAAGAACTCTTTTAGCATTTGCAGCGTTCAGCATTCAGCGTTCAGCGTTCAAAGTAGATTGAGCGTGTAGGTTGGCGCCCTTACCGTGTCTTAAAGGCTTCTTCACGAGGTGGGTGCTGGGCACCCATAGGCTTCTCTAAACATCGAAAAGTCTCTGGTTTTGATAAGTCCAGCTCTTGACTCTCATAGTCGGCAAGAACCCATGGAAATATTGGATATTGCGTGAGATCATTGTATCCTCTCCCTGCTAAAGTATTCAGGTGCATGAGGTACTGAAAGTTACTAATCTCACCATTCTGCCACCTGCACCGCACCAAAAAAGAAACACGTTGATTGCCATTGTGTAAAGGAAAATAATGGCGTTATGAACTCCATACCAGATACCAAAAAAATCTTATCCAAGTCAATGAGTGTGCTTTGGTCTAATACATACGAATCATTAAATGAAATCATGATTCTGATATCCCTACTTGAGAAGATTCGAATGGGGCATTTTAGACAGAATACTGCAGATAAAGAACTTTGGCTTCACCATACCTCTTACTGAAAGACTTAGCTAACAACTTGGAAAGTCTCCCCCCTTCATTGCCCTCTTGCTTAGAAACCCCCGAAATAGTTGTATCCAACCTGATTAACACGAGAAACAGAGATAAATGTCATTCGCGAAGCATGTCAATTGCCCAACCTTCTGGGCGTAGCGTGCAACAATCAGGAGTAGCAATATATTTTCATTTAATCAGAAATAAAACAATCAGTAGAATTGCATTGAGCTGGCAAATTACATGCTGTTGCGCGGAAGGCCCTGAGCCAGCAAATTTTTGAAAACTTCATCACGTTCATTCTTGTGGAAAACAAGTAATTCATTAACCCCATTCATACTGAACAGCTCGATGGCCACTGGGCGGAGCTGGTACTGCCTCTTTAGTAGCTCATGAACACTATCCAACTTCCACATGTGCCATTTATGCTGCATGTTGCGGCCAGCTAGAATCTTTCAAAGAGAAAACCCACAGAGAATTAACTTAATATTCTAAACGTGCAAAAATATAGTCAAATTGAGAATGAACATTTAAAAGCTACCTGGATCCTTCAGCACACATTTCAATACTTCCCAGGGAGTAATTGTGGATTGTAAAATGAGCAGTGATAATTCAAGATATGAAATTAAACCCACGATGTATACAGATGGAAGAATTGAACTAACATTTTCCTTTCCCCGAGCACCTCCATTGCATGCCCAAGCCCGACCGCCGAGCCGATCAGAGGCCACCGTCTCACCAAAACTACCCGATGATGGTTTCATATCATCCTGAGAATCATTTGGCCCTGTCATTGGGACCCCCAAAGCCCGGTCGATCACAGATATGTCCCCTTCGTCCCCTTTCTCCTTGATACATCCCTCTTCATCGAGGTAGTAATTATCAATCACGTACAGACACTGTTCTCCAATTAAGAAAATGCCATCACGTTTATCCAGCCCAAGAACTCGTTCACAATTGTAGCGAAATTTAACCTTCTCTCCAGGTTCTAAATATGGCCGTATTAAAAATTCCCCATCCTCATGGATGTCGAATTCCTTGTTTTGTGAATCCCCAGTGTTTTTGCATTCTTCGGAGCCGTATAGATAATCTACATCTTCCCTCCCACCTGGTTGACTTCCTTCCTCACTTCGCCTGCGAACAGGAACTTGATTCTCCGCGGTGGTACCACTGCTAGGCTGATCATCACTCGACTGTCCATGAGCAGACAAGGAATCATCTTCCTCCAAGCCTTCAGCTTTAGTGGGATCACCCTCATCCTCTACGGATGAATCATGGAAACTGAAATCCTTGCTTTGAACTCTTAAATGCATTTTAAAGTCTGGGTGATCTGTAGATAAGGAAGGTGAAGTTCTGTCCCTTCCAATACTCACTCGGCGACAATATTCAAGACCAAAAGAGTCTTCCCCCTGAAAAATCAATACCTAACCGTAAGAAACGCAGTAGAATGACAACATTTGCATTAAAACAATGCACTTAAATTATGGACTTCCGTCAAGATGGCATGATTTGATAAAAACCAATTGGATTTTATTAGTACAGAATTTCAGTCTATAGAATGTAACTGACCTCGAGCTTAGCATCGTAGTTGTCAGTTTGATTAATTGTCTGTCGCTCTAGCTTTTTTCTCATGCGGAAGGGACCCTCATCGGTAGACAATTGCCAGATAGCTTTTCTATCAGCTGCAGCAGATGCCATTGGCCATATACCCCGCTCATGAACCAATTGCTGGACATGTGATTTCCATTCACTTTCAGCATGCAGCATCCAACCATATTTGTCTTGCCGTAGCATTCGCAGCTCGGCTGCAATAGACTCCCGGACTGCGCACACGAAAGCCAATCATTCATATTTTCTCAGAATTTACCTCCAGTTATTGTTCCTGAGAATCAGACAAGGCTCAGAGATGGATTCATGATTGAATGAAGTTAACATTGTTCAGAAACAACTAGCCAGTACTGGTTAGTAGGGATGCTATAACTAAAATTACCTTGCTCAAGTCCACAACGGCTTTTGGCGACCTGCTCATAATGTAAATGATCAAGCTTTGATATTTCTCTCGAACGACGGTTCATTTCTCTCTTCCGTCGTCCTTCCAAAGGTTTGATTCTGACCCCTGGAAAACGCAAGGTACCTTGCAAATACTCTTTCCACACAACAGCTGCCCGTTGTTCTAGCACCTTGCGCACTGTACCCCAGGATTCCTCAATCCATGCATAGAACTCTTTAGAACTCACCGTGAGCAGAAGATTGAAGCCGTTGTGAAGCACATCCACATTCGCCGCACCCTGCGTCGAGTTACATACTCAGTTGCATTCAAAGTGAAACCTTTGCCACAATTTCGAACTCAATAAAATATTACAATCTGAATAAGATGGTCCCTGACAGAAAAGAACAAGACCAGAACACATGGAAACATACTTGAGTTCCTCTCCAAATTAAGATGTCTTCAAGGGCAGGGCTTCGATGCAACACAAGTGCTCTCCAGACGTCCACTGCTAAGGTACGTGTGCTTGGCTCAGGATCCCATAGAAGCGGAGTAACATTCACACAAAGCGCACACAAGAGTTCTGGGTCCACACTGCTCGCACAAAAAATAAGCTTCTTGTTTGCAAGAATGAGCTGCAAAACAGTAGCTTTGTCAATTTCCTGCGAAGCAGTACTAAATTCTCCGGAGCCTCCTTCAGCACCATAGCGTAAGCTATCTAAGCTTCGAAGAAGACTATCTGAACTTCGTTGGAAAGACGAAGGTAGAGAGTCCTCTCCAAGTCCTCCCACCGATGAAGCCGGCAACAAACAGTACATGATCATACGATTTGTATTCTTCAGTAGGGCTTGTACGTGAGATTCCACCTGACGACTCCCCCCTCTGGCCAGTGCAAGGAGGCCCTTGCCAGCGGGGACTGCCTCTTCAACACGCCCATCTGAATTAGCCAATTGAAGCATTGCAAGGAGGAACTCCAAAACCCTGATGGCTGCCCCGGGATCTGCAAAGGCTCCCATAAACGCGCGATCGGCTAAAAGCCAGCTCAATGTGTCAAGGTTAGGTGCCCATCTGTGTGAACAAGCAGAAAATATCACAAAGCATCATTCTGAGTGTTCATAATCCTCGTCTTCACAAGAAGAAACATTGCAATGAGAAAAGGCAATCTGCATAAATGTTCAACAAAAATCAAGAAAAAATCAAAACAAAATCTTTGGCATCATTACTGCGGTAGATTAGAAAGAGCCAAACCTATTCTTGTCGAGTTTCTTTAGATGCTCTTCCTCGTCGCGTAATAGCCTTCTCTCTAAGAAATTGATCATCCGACCAAGGCAGAGACCCTGAAAAACAAGCATACCGTCTGATCCAACGTATTGTGGAACAGCCTCAACAGCAGCCTCCACAACACACATCCCCTTAGGATGCTCTGTCAAAGTATCTGCAAGAACTTCCCCAATTAGATCAAGTATTGCAGATGCACTACAAGCGCAGGAGCCATCTGAAGCCCCCATGGCTTCTAATTGGAGTAAGAGCTTTGGTATAACAATAGCATCAGGGCTGGCTCTTGGAGTAAAACGTCCAGATGAAGCCGCTCCAAAATCGCTATAAAAAGAATCAGCTTCGCTGCGAGGAGTTAGTGGAGTGGAAGAAAAGAATGCTGACGATCTATGCCGTGAACTTGAATCTCCTTCACTGCGGGTTATATATGCACCAGTGAGGGATGACGATAATGTCCTAAGGCGAGAGAATGCCTCATGAGGACCCCCAACAAATGATCCTACGGGGGAGCCCACATTCTGAGCCTTGGGAGTGGCTACTGAGCTCGAGACTTCGGAAGCAGTCGGAGAGTTACCCTGCATCCATCTGGGTGAGGACTCGGGACCTGCAAAACGAATCAGTAAAAAGTGATTGGAGGAAATTAATCAATAGTAGCAGTGGATACAAACTTTACATGAGCTTCAGTACAGGTATAGAGGCTTCGAATAACAAAAAAAGCATATTTGACGACACCACAATGTAAAGACTTGCAGTCTAGGCCATATGGAAAGAAAAGGTATATATGAATGACGTGATTGCAAAATCAGCTCAACATCGAACCCTCAACTCAAACCTACCTCCAATTGAAGGTTTAAGTGACTGTCCATCAAAATTTGTTAAACAGCCCGAACTTTCCACGGTAATATCATAAATCATGTCGTTGACTGGGTCGACGGGATATTCTGAGAATTCACTTGCCGTCAAATCACCAGAGAAACCTTTCTCTAGTTTCGTTTCGTAGTCATTCAATCTACTCACCTTCTGATAATCAGTTCCATCCACTAGTGTGGAAAAAGAACCATCAGCATAAAATAATTCTTCACCATTTTCTGATCGCATCGAATGCGCCAAAGCTTCTTGAGCTGATTGTAGAGCACCGGCCGATCTGTATTCACAAGAAAGTGAACCAATACCAACATACTTCAGCATAGAAACAAAAGGAAAAGCGAGAAAACATAACGATGATGAAGTATCATATTTCATCTGAAAGTGGTGTTACGCAGACACACATAAAGCACAATTACAATAAAATACAAATGCATCCAGTACGACCATAAGAATTGTCGCATCCGGGAATACATCCATCATATTCAAACATTTCAATCAGTAAACCCCAAAGCACAATGGTCAGCCATGACACCTTAGTGATAATGGCACTAGAAGAAATGGAGTATACCAAACCTACCTTGCACAAGAGAAGTACAGATCAACTAAGGACTCCAAAAAATCCATGCGCCTGCATGCAAGGGTGAAGGGGTGAAACATTTTGGCGAGATCGACCATGAACCGCAAGATTGATGTTACCAAAGCAGGGGCAGCGGCCTCTCCATTCATGAGCCGTGCAGCATATGTCTTGTGTAATAAAGCCTCGCCCTGCAAATCACTCTCCAAGATGTTCAAGGTGCAAACAATTCTATTATTTATGCCAAACTAAATCCAAATTTATGACGATGAATATTGTCAAAGAGAAGAAACATAAAAGGGTAGCCCAGTAGCGATTGTTTTCATGAGTTACTTAAGGAGCCATCCCTCATGGTCATGGGAAAAAATACCATACCTGAAGATCTTCGCCAGAATCTTCGACCGCGCCAGAATAGCTCCGTGAAGATGCACTAAATTCGGATAAATTTCCAGACTGTTGAGCCGTCAGAGATTGTTTGCTTACTTTATTAAAAGCAGCCTTACACATACATATGACTACCTCCAGCAACTCTGGGAAGCAAATATCTCCAGATTTATGATCACCAGGCATCAGAGCATGAAAATCTAGCATTCGCACTTCCGGTTGTCTCGGGTACACAGACTGGTTGAATATGAGCTTGAAGAGAATGAAGTAAATATCTGGTGAATCAAAGAAAGAAGGCAGTACACGTGCTAAGTGTTGGTAGCCTCCTGAACTCTTGAATTTGGCTGCAAATGTGGCAGATGTCGCAAGGCAAAGACCCAATATTGTGATTACTCGTCCCATGCTACAATGATGAACAGCATCATCCAATAGATAATTTATCACTCTCGCGGACACAACCTTGTTCCATTCGACTGTTTTAGACTCTTCAGATTTGATGAAAAACTGTAGATCAATGAACTTGTCTAGCAACAAATTTCGCACTTTCACCTGCAATAGCCAAGAAGTTTCACATGAACTCTCGCACAAAATAGACTTTCGGTCTCAAACCTTTGAATCGGAAGCATTTGATTTGTAAGGCACCCAACTTGACAATTATAACACACAATGGCATTAAAAATAAACAAGTGTAATAAACCCTACGCACTTGATGACAGAATGACATACCTGGCTACTCGTGGACTCTTGAGTGACAACAGGAGTGCCCTCGATCGATGGCGAGGGGTCAAATGTCATCACCACAAAATCTGCCACCAGCTGAAGCTCTGATGAGATGAATCCATCTTTCAAGATTGACGTCACAAGGTCCACCACAGCTTCACAAACTCGATCTTTAACATCTCTTTGCAATATCACAAGCAGATGCTGCAGGAGATTTAGACGGCGAAGGACTGTCATGTTATATTCACGATATCGTTTAGAAGATACTAAACGACTTATAAACCCAATAATAGTCAGTTGCATGCTCACGTCGGCATCCGACCAAACGGTCCAGTCTAATAAAACATGTTCTACTATATCAGGATTTGATAATACATCGCTTTCATCATCATTGGTGCTTGTGTCAACAACTTCAAGATCAGAGATTCCTGGACCTATGGAGCTGTCCTGTCCAAAACTTTCCACAGAGTCAAACATAGACCCGTAGGATGAATCCTGATCATCAAATTTTGAAGGGTTGCCGGAAACATCTAAGTCGAAATCTGTATCAGAATCTGCTTGGACAAGTCTATTTATGGAATCTGGAATTCCAGAAATTTGTCTAACAGGTTCTTGAGTCGACATTGATTTCTGTGCGGGTACTAACTTCTCCGATTTAGGAAATGTTTTCAAGGCTGGTGCAGCCTGACATTTAGCAATCTTGAATAGAAAAAGAAGGCATTGCTTGTCCAAATAGTTCATGCGAAGGCGAAGGAAAAGGGCTAACAAGTGATAACCATGGCACCTCTGCATATCCCGAACGTTCCGAGGGTTGTACTTTAGTACACTGTGGAGTAGGGATAAAGACAAGTATAGCATGTCCCAAGACTTGGAAGCTTCTAACATTGCCAGAACCACGGCTACGCCACCAACCTTGCGTAGATTGTCAGCAATATTTAATGGAGCGCAGATACGGGTGTCGCCACATATTTCAGCAGCATAGGGTACACCTGGAACATGCATACAAGTATCACGTGTATCAGCTGAAGGTTAGTGATTCACACCTTCTCTACAAGCAATCAAGCTATGCATTGCGTATAGCACCCCTAAACAACCCATAAAAAACTCAAAAACGAATACTTACCGCCAGACGGAAAGGTGCTTGTCGACATAGAATCCGCAAGATTCACCACTGTAACGGCGGCTGTCGATATTGACGCATTTGAGAAAGTACCATCAAATGCAAATATCAACTTCCGACCCGAGACATGTGCAATTTTGGCAAACTTTTCCATATCCCACATAGATCCCCTGCCTTCTATCTTCAATGAACCTCCTGCTCCCCTCACGGATCCTTCTCTCTGAGCTACAGAACTTGATTGTTGTTCAATATCCAAAGTTTCCAAGACAGCAAGATTTCCACCTCCACAAGCTTCCTGAGGTATAAAACGTACAATATTTGGATCCTGAAATAAACCCCGGTAAGATCGCCCCATAACATACATGAAGAAAACAGCAGTTGCTGGGAGCACTTCTTCATACAAGTAGCAGGACCCAAGCTGCCATGATATTGAGCATGTTTCAGCTTGAGCGGCAGGTGTCCCGATGATCACCTGTTCAAGTTACACAATGAAAAGTAGATAAGCCTATTTATTCTTACGTGTTAAATCAATTTTGCACACATGCATTGTGATTAACAGTACGGACACTTTAGTACTCGTCACGATTATTGATACAATCAATAACCTTCAAAGATAATGTAAAACAAGCATGATGATTGGATGAACGTAGAAAACCACATGTTTCAAATACTGATTTGAAACGATGATTCTCAAACGAGTGGTTAAGGTCATCGAATCCACTCACTTGTAATGGCTTCCCAACAGGAGTTGCCGCATAACCAAGCTTTCCAGTGTGACATAACTTGCCATTCAAATATAGGTAAGCAACACTGGATTGAAAAAGTCCTGCCAGAGCATTTGGCTTATTGTGAACTATAACCAAGTGATACCACCTGCCCTCTTCTAGATGAACGCCCTTGAAGAATAAAAATGATGTGGGACTAGTAACCAGCTTTAAACCCCCCGAGTCATCCATAAACAACTCCACACAGGTTGTGCTTTTTTCTTCAGCTGTGCTAACGGAAAAGATCCGGAGAACGGGACCTGAGCTGCTCTGCTTTTTACCAGCCAAATTAGATTTCGGAACACTGGATTCTATTACAGTCGCAATTTGATCTTTGAAGTTTTCCAAGCGAATCCAGCAAACAAAAGAATAGCCTGCTGCTGGCGGCCACGACCTATCAGTGAAAGGAACTCGAATGCATGCGTGCCCCATACGTGACATCCGAAATTCAACGAAGGAAGAGAGAGAGAGACTATCAGGAACGAATTCTATGGACCACATCCTTCTCACTGTTTCCAGAATGCTTTTCCCAATTTGACCTCCTGATCCATCACGATTCTGCCAAATGTATCTCCCTAGGGTGCGGATCTCAGACGACGAGAGCCTGGAAATGAAATAAGGATCAATGAAAGCAATTCGCATAACGCACTGGCACACCACACAAAAATGCTAAAGCTGGAAGAGGGTCTAAAAAAATGAGCAAGATAATGACTCATATGAAAATTATAGAGTGGAACTTACCTGAAAGACCCCAGTACTTCCACTATCTGAAGGGCGCAAGTAAGCAGGGATGAAGGGTTTGGCAGCATGAGTCGAATCGCCTCCAACAGTAGGCCAACGCAGCCTGCTCTAACGAAAAGTTAAGAACTAGCAAACATGATTGTCTGGGTGTTAAAGTGAGACAACATTCAAGTTATGAATTATATGCTTCACTACCAAAGACAATAATATGACTACCTAGACCCTGTCCACAGAAATAGATGGTAGATTAACCAAATATATGATTGCCAGACACTTACCAACAGCACTAAGAGCATCTTGATTGCGAGGACTAGCCCCTGCGATAATCTTCAGACGTATGAGCACCCGCATCTGCAGTTTCAAAGAGAACTGCAACAGACAAAACAGAAGAACCTCAATAGCAGATGGATTGAAAACCTCTTCCTCATCCCGAGCTTGATTTAGATCAACCACAAAAGATCCACGGATTCCAGGAAGTTGGAAATATTCATGGCCAACTTTGTCATTATGTAGCAGGATTGGCAGCCCTCGAGCATTCTGAGAAGGCGAGTGAACTTTTTCAAGTGCCAGATCAAAAAAAAGCTCGACAAATTTTTCCTCAAAATCTTTACAGATCAATCCCGAAGAGCACAAGAGTCGCTTAAAATTATGCGATAGAAGAAACTCGTGCAGAAGACTGCGATTCATGGGGGTCTCAGCCACAGCTGCAACCACGACGTGCAGAAGAGCAATGAAGAGTTCAGTTCGCAAATTTACTCTAGTAGGAGAGGGCGAGTCTTCCCCAGAATATTCATCAAGTCGAGACTTGAGGCTTGATATTACAGAATGATCATCAGCTTGAATGCTCTCAAGGACTGAGTGGAGAAGAGAAAATCCTTGAGCATCCCCAAAAACAATCTTCAATGCGGGATTTGCGACAAGAACCTTCCAGATCATCCACAAAACATCCTCTTTAGTTTCTAGCTCTACTCGCCACTGTCTTCCTTCTAAGTTCTTGACAGAGCTCGTATGGACTGCTTCAATAAGAGCTTTCAGGTCTTCCTTATGCGCCTTAAGAGATTCCCATGAAACAATATCAAGTTGTCACACTCAGTTGCGGATGCTCAAATGATTCATCTGATAAATGTCATCATAAATTGATTGCACACGTCGTCCGACATCCTCAGTTTTTAAATTAAATATTAAAGCTGAGTATTTTAATAAACATAATGAAAGAAAATAAGCAGAGACAAGAATGGGCCCACCGTCAGGAAATTCATCAATTATGAAGCATCCTTAAATGAGGGTGATAAATCACAGGATTGACAGGAAAAGAGAGGAAATTCTGACGGCCACCCTTTACCTGGTTCGAGTCTTCGAGTATAAGACATGAAAGTAGCTTTAACACATTGGTCCGATGTTTAGGGGCTGCCAAAAGTGGGAACACAGCCGCAACCCCGTTCAACTTCCGAAACATCACCTGATTCCCCTCACTTTTTCTCAATAGGGAGATTAAACAACTCCATGCTATCACATTAGTGGCTGCATCTTCAAATATAAATTGACTACGAGATGACGAATACTCCCGCTCAAGGTGAAGAATACCAACACTGTTGGCTCTAATTGGATTCGCGTCACTCTTAAAACTTCTTTGAGCAGAGCTAACTGGCGGTTCACATTTCTTCAGATCGTCCACTAACAAATCCATAACTCCAGCTTCTCGAAGTACCTTCTTGTACTGCCTGTCGAAGGAAAGAAGCTTCTCGAAGAATGTTAAGATAGCTATTCTTAATGACGATGTCAATGGTTGCTGGACCAAGTAGCACAGTGAAAACAATTCCTGATCAGGGACACAGTTGGCACTAATAACTGCATATTCTAGAACCTTTAAAACACGTTCCTGTAGTACAGATGGATAATTTCCCATATTTTGGATAAAAAGAGCCATTGTTCGGAGTTCCTGGACAAAACCGTAGTTGTCCGGGTGACCAGCAAAGAGTCGAAGCAGGCGATCCAATAATTCAACTCGCAAAGCGATAATGTTTGTTTTCAAGAAGAGATCTTGGAAAATCTGAACGGAGTTAGGATCTCGAAGTTTCCCATCCAGAAACGCTCCGACAGGAGACCCAGTGCTTTCAGATTTCGAATTCAACTGATTACCTGACGGGAGTCTCCCAGCTTTTCCTGCAATTGCACTGCCAGAATGTACACCAACTTTTCCGGTCCCAACTTGAGCTAACTCCCCTATAATGTCCAACAACCGCAACAATTGTGGTGGTATGACTTCACGATCTACTGTCTGATTCTCAGTAGATATATCACGTGCCGATTCGGCAAGTTTCAACGCTAGCTGCAAAAAAAGATCATAACCATTTTCTTTCTCAAGGTTCTTTTTCAAACAAACTCCGCCAGCCTCTGCAATATAAAGGAAAAAGACGAAGTAGTTACAACAACGTGGAAATAAGTATCAAATCAACGAATAGATCACCTACAATTAGCTTTCAACAAACTAGCTCCACAAGACCTGTCGTTAAAAGTAAATGAGTGGCTTGATATCGTAGATGAATTGCATTACAAATTACTATGTATCGGCTAATAAGCAACTTTACTTGTTGGTTTGATAGCAAAAAAACATAAAGCCTGAGCACCCGACACAAACTTCTTGTGCTACATCTTATCACGAAAGTAAAAGTAAAAATATACATCTTCAATGATCAATTTGAAAAGTGAACGTTGCAAGAACTTGCTAAGATTAAACAATACAGCAACATATAATCCGACAAGAGCTTTGACAAAACTTTAACACCATGTACTGCCTTGGGATGGATGCAAGTGTAATCTGCACGAAGCAACAGACAAACTTAAGCCCCAAAAGCTGGAAATACCTGATCGACAAGACAGCTGAATCGCATTCTTGATTAGGGAAACAACAGATACGATGTAGCTGTCATCACCAGAATGCTCCACAAAGTTCATAACAGGAGTCAAGAGTACTTTAACCTACACCACCACACCCACTTGTCACAATAAGCAGGTGCCTAAGATACATGTTACTCCACAATAGGATATATGACTGGTATTTGAAACGTTAAGAAAATGTCCAGCTTACAGTAAAAGATTTTGCCCTCCCTGAAATCGTGTATAGAAAACAGTAGCTAAAAGAAATACAGAAGTACTCTAGTAACAACAGCTATTCTATGACATTCGGTATGTACAAAAAGAAGCAACATCAGAGTGTATCATATATTAAGAACATTGTCCAGCGATTACTTTCTCAAATACACAAGGATGCATCCTATCTAGACGCACCAGCTCTTGATTTTGAATATACTGTGCAGTTCCACCATTATCGCTATTAAGCAACAACTCCAATATCTGCATCATTACCAATATTACAGAGGAAAGACAAGAAAAATTAAAGAGAAGCTCTGTTCGAAATTTTACCAGGATGCTCTTAGAAGTCACCACTGTGGGTATGTCCAAGAGCTAGGTGGTCAAATCTCGGCCTAAAGAAGATGCAGACCTTCATAAGAAATTAAATTCATTCGTAGAAAAATTTGTCAAATATTAAATCCTTGTGGTGGTTACGGATGTACAGAAAGTGACCAACCTGTAAAACGTGGCGGTAGAGCTGTGCCAAGTGGGTTGTTATAATCTCCCTGTTCTGAGATGGGGGTATCAAAGGCGTTTTATATCCCATAAAAACCATATGGAACATGCGCTGAAATCTATCAGATTCTACCAAAGTTTGTGCTGCCCCAGGATGCCGTGCCAATGCCTTCATCAAATGAACAACGCTAGAAAAGACCTAAACATTGAAAGTGCAAACAAAAACATAACATCAGAACATATGGTGATTCTCGTCAATGTCGCATAACCTTGGTGAGAGCATATGATAAGCATCTATATACTCGAGCTTTCAATCGGCATCGATCTCCTCAAACCAACTTCATCATTCTAAATCACTGATTAAATTGCTACCGTAGTTTTGCACAGAAAAACCAGAGAACACTTGAGACTTGAAATGTCAACGGGAGCGAACTATCAGCAAGTGAAATCACGTGAAGAACTACGTAATGTACACAAGTTGAGAATAATAACATAGCTGTACTATCCCTTCCAAACAAAATGATTAAGTTAGAAAGGCTAAGGAAAATTTCCAAATCTTCTCATCTTGGGAGAAATCCTCGTGGACATACCGCAGTTCGCTTGTTCTCGTCTCCACTACCATCTGTGGATCTCGGGCTATGCAGAGATGTAGGACTGTCCACTGCCTTAAATGAACTGGCAGAGTCAGCAGAGTAGAGAAGGTGATACAGAACAATAACAAGAGAAGAAAGAAGGCCAGCTTCGAGTAGTGGCTGGACGTCCAATGGCTGCACAAAAAAGAAGAAACAATGGTAAACGAGGACATAATTAGTTGAATCGCACTGTCATTCGGCATTGGTTAACTACCAATACAAAGGTAGAAAGAATGTAATACTGAGGCTCAACTGTTTCAGTGCAAGTAGAAGTGAAGAAAAATGTTAAAATAACTAAAATAACAGCTTCACCTACTGTAGTAAAGACGAAAACCCATGTAAGCCAAAATTATGGAGTGGAACAAAAACTCCTTCAAAAATCCAAGGTGATAAAGCATCAGCAATCAATCTACGAACCATTTCAACATCGATAAATAGCAACAACTGCCAATGCACTGACATGGGAGAGAAGAATACCGGTGTAACAAGGCCTTCAAGAGCGAAAAGCAGGTTGCCACCAGCACTTACGTCTCCCTGCATACACATAACCAAACCACGATAATCAGCACATGTACTCAAATAATTAATTTAAATATTCGGCAATTCGAAAGGAGTGAAAGTTTGAAATAGAAACTAATAAATCTGAAGTTACCAATCTTTCCCATAACCCTTGCTTCTATCACAGAAAGAAGTAACTTTGAAAAAAAAAACTTGGATAAGTACAAGAAACATGATGCAAAACATATACAATGTTCCCCATAGAAAATTAGTCACATACTACTCTGTTTACACTAAACTATGATATGACAAATGGTCATACTTTTATTTCTCCACCAAAGTAGTTCAGAATAGCATTTGGCTGCAACTGCTCATCGGGGCTGGTCTTTAGCAGCTTCTCGATGTCCGTAACAAGTGCTTTCGCAACCACAAATGCGAACACTCGCCCATCAACAAGTCTGCCAAACAACCAAACAGTTTCACAAATTGGTGTCGACCTTGTCAAGTGTTTACGGATTGTTTCGTCTTTGATGGATTTCTAACTGAACCTGATCAAGTTCAATGAGTATACATCAGTGTATCAGAAGGCGGTTATGATTGAGCCGTACGTCTGAGCAAGCCTGGCAGGATTGCCAGTTCGCCGAGAGATCTTGCAGAAAAGGCTTATGACATTCTCCAGAGCTTCTTCTTTTTCCTGCATAAAACAAAAAGTGCAGAGAAGAAAAATTCAGTACGACAAAAAGTCCCTGTTGACAGCAAGGTCGGTAAGATACGTAAGTGTTCACATTCAAGCCGCTGAAAGTTCTAGACCAGACAGATATAACATGGCCACAAGTAAGATATGCGGTGAACTTGTACAGATATACCCATTTAATTTCAGAATAAACCAGAAAGTAAAACCACAAAACTATTGCATGACATAACAGATGAAGTATTAGAAGATTCTTCAAAAAGCATCGTCGTCTAGTGCTCAATCAAATTTAACATCTAAAACAAGATGTTAGGAACTAATGACCTCCAGAAAGCTGTACAAAAAGATGTACCTTCTCGATTGCAGAGCGAAAGTCATCCCATGCCCTCTTGAAGTCCTGTTCGGACTCATTTGTATCCCTGACAACCTCAACACACGGGAAATTTGATCAGAAGAGGAGAGAACATTGGGCTTGAACAGAAACTCCGTATTCTGAAACCAGGACAGTAATAAACCATTTACAGATGCACAATTCCGCTCTACGTGTCTCCAACAAGTGCTCTTCAAATCCAGACTTCGATAACCCTCCAGACCTCTCTGTCTCTCTCTCCCCCGTTTACATGCGACGTTCGACGTAAGCAAGAGACTAACAGGAAGAAATTGAGAAACCCAACGACACTAATCTCTAAGAATGGATGCCAGATCATAACAACCAAGTCGAGCTCATGTGGTATATGACGTCTTCTTATAATAGCACATTCCGAGACAGAAAGAACGGAGACAATCGAGAATGTCCGCTGTATCAAAACAACAGGCTTTGTGCTTCAAAAAATATAGAGATGGAAATAAATGATCACTAACAACAACAGATTCCTTTTCATGCCTGATGAAAGTCCAATCCAGAAAAGAGTGGTTTCAGAATGATCTAAAACCTTTAACACAAACAAGATATGAGACAGTATCATAATCTCACCTGAAATGAGGGCTGCCGCCCTCCTCAGAAAACTGTCGGGCAGCTCGCGGAGATAAAGGTAACTGTGCGTGGACTTTCTCTCTGAATCGATCAATCCATTTCATGATTGTTTTCCCTAAAACATCCCCCTTCGGACATCTGTGCTTTTCCCAGCGCCACCCAGCTCGATCTAAGAACCAATGTCCTAGATAAATCCAGAAAACTTCACTGAACGATAACCGTCCACCAAATTGAAAAAAACTTCGAAGGTAATGTGATTCAACCGAGGGGCTCTCTTTAATCTACGAGGCAGATGTATCTGTATCGCAATTCGTAGAATAAAAAATTAAAATTAAAATTGTTTTCAAAAATAAATAACAGAGTGTACAACCTGGCCATGTATATTTGCACAACATTAATCTCATACTTTGCTGTGTGCCCCCATTAGATTGCCAGTAGACATTCAAAAATGCCTCAGATGCAAACGAGCTTGTCTTTGCACAGGATCACCAAAAAGCCATAGTTGCGATGCAATTGCATCGTCACGATACTACATCCTACAGCCAAATGTCCACCTTCTTGGCAGGCTAAACCCAACTCGAGCAATCTCAGTAAAATGCCAAAACAAGTAGAGATAGGACATACTCTTTCAGCACCTTAAAACATGCTTCGATCATAACCTAAATTCTCCAGCACAACTGAAACCTGCCATCCACAAGGTAGGAAAAAAAAGTAACATCAGACCTATTAAAATGTCAGCAACGAGAAGCTATAGAAGAGATATTACAATTCTAGCTCTAGGTCACCAGACCAGAAGGACACCCAACAATCTAAGGACTTCCAAGGAACTTCAGGCGCTCGCCATCGGTTGAACCATGCGGAGATACCCCTCTAGTGCAGACTGTAGATATGAGTTCCTCAATGGAAAGAAAATTGCGCTAATAGATGATTGATATGCTCGAATCCCAGAAAAAATTATGATGTTATTGAGATTAATTGCTAATCTCTTCAACTCTGAGCTCCTTCGACCACAGCGCAACCACAGGAAGGACCATTGAACAGTTTCCATCTCGCACTTCGTGAAAGGGCTAATTGATGGAAGACAAAGATTTCAGACAACTCAACGGCATTGCAGTTTCACAATACACTGAAATGCCAGTGCAGGAACTACAAATCATAACAGACGAAGGAGGACTATGGTGACTATGACTCCTGCTCCATGCAGATCCCCTATGAAAGTGTGGACCTGAATAGCCGCGTTCTCGCTAATGCACCCAGTTTCCAACCCTCCACAACTTACAAAATCTATCGGCGACTGTAACTAGCACTCACTTCCCGAGCAACAATGGTTGTAGTCATGAGCTTCGGAACGAGGCGATCCGAGCACCAATCAATCAGAAAAGATCAACCCAAACCTCCCTCTTCAGATCCACATCACAATCGAGCTGGCAAAATCCACAATGGCTGAACACCATTGACAAGGCTGCCCTCAGAGGGAGGCGATCGAATCAAAAAATAAGATAAAAATCCTCGTCGCTCCAAACTCTGCGCTTCTCGAACCGCATTAACGGAACCGAGGAGGTAAATAAATAAAAGTCACCGCGACTTGGATATCGAACCCAGCCCATCATGACCGCATCCAAATCTCTCCACTCACGACCAGCCCAGCTCCGGAAACCGTCCAAATCGCGCGATTGCAACACAGAACCCTGGAAAACCCAAACTCACCACCCCCCACAATCCCAATCCAGCAGGTCCAAACATCCCTCTCAGCCCAAGCACCACGTCGTGAACCACAATCCCTGTCACAATCACTCACGCACCACGACCCGCCACCTCGGAACCGTCTCTCACGTTCGCCATTCATTCTCTCTCTCTCTCTCTCTCTCTCACACACACACACACACACACCCTGCACAGGCCACACAGATCAGTCCGCAACGACGAAAAGGCCGGGCACTGGAAGCAATAACCTGCACCAAAAAGGCTACCCGGCAATTGGCAGACGCGCCAGAACGAGCATACTCTTGCAGAGCAACAGCACGTGGAGTGACGGAGGATAGAATCGTCCAAGACACAGACAAGCAGCAGGCATGCAGTCAGGCAGACAGGCAGCCTTACAACAGCACCAGCACCCACTCTCTATCTCTCTCTCTCGCTCTCTTTCTCTCCCCTACTATTCCCTCCTCCTCCTCCTCACCCTCGCCCCCCACCTTCTTCTTCTTCCCTTCCCTTCTCAAGCAAATGCGGGAAAAATGCACCACGAACACCGCGGTCCGAGTCCCTCGGAAGTAGTAGTCCACCCTCGATTTCCTCGGGGCTGGGACGCGCTCTTCTGATTCCCCCCCACCCGGCGCTCACTCCTGAAGTCAAGCAGCCAGAGCCTCGCAATCACGGGGCCTCTCCTCCTCCTCCTCCTCCTCCTCGTGGCGGTGTCTGTGGGCTCGTCGCCGGGACAGTTTGCTGGCGCCGTGTTGTGTAGAGTTGTGTTGGGGTAGGCTGGGCTGGGATGGGGCAAGAGTGGAGCCCGGTGCAGAGCTACGCCTGTTTCTTAGGGACAAAGGCGATTGACTCCGCAACCATTGCGGGGCTCGCCGCGGTTTGAAGCTGTCCATTGATAGGGGAGCCCCTTTTTTTGTATTTCTACATCTATGGGCGAGGAGGCGTCTGCTTGGTGTTTGTTTTTCCATTTCTGTCGCAACAACACTGTGCCCTGCGAACAAGCGATTGAGCAATGTGATTTTCTTTTTTCTTTTTTATCTCTTTCTTTGTTGGATTTGAGTTCCCCATTGAAACGTGTGCTGAAACAGTGGTTCAAGTGGATGATGGGGTGCTTGGTTGCGATAAACACATCACATTGTGACACATGCCGCTGTTTGTTGGATGTATTGGTGGTGGTGGTCCACATTGATTATGTGAATACAAAATTTATTTTTAGTACTTTGTGTCTTGTTCGAGGTAGAGATTTGACTTGTGGAAGTTTTTGCGGTAAAGCAACTTGAGATTTAAATGCACATTTCTGCTATGTGACACTATTTTTGAGGGTTTGGATTTGGGTGTAATTGTGCATGAATATGTTCTAAAATTTTGAACGTTGGAAAATGGTTTCTATTTATTTTATTTTTTTTGTATTCTGCCCTCATTCCATTGACAACTTCTTTGTTGCTTTTGCATGATAATACAGCGTTTTGTGCAACCATGAGAATTGAATGTTTTCGGATGCATTTTAGCCCGTATATTTCGTGATTTATTTATGGCTTATAAAGTCACATTCCTGGTTCGATTCTCATCAATCTCACGTTTTTTATGATGAATGCATGAACTGCACATTGTTAAAAAATCAAAAGAGCACAGCACATTTTTATTTTCAATTTTGCATTTTGATTGATTTGATAATAAATATATCTATGCCAACTATTAATATATTTGAAATTAAATTATATTGCAATGAAAATAGTTCCAAGAGCTTCTGAAGCAAAATGGTAAAAAAAAATATCTAATACTTCCAATGCTAAAAAGAGTCATTCAGGATCTAATAAGTATGTATGTTTGCAGTTTAATTAAAGCTCAAGCTCAATCATTTTACCGACGTTTGATTTAACAATCAAAAAACAATAATGCAGCAAGGTATCATTAACAAATGTATTTTATAGAACTATAAAAAAAGCATAAAAAAAAACCATGATGTTTTAGAAAAGAGAATTTTTAAAAAATATATTATAAATAGTTTCTAAATCGAATAAATTTAAAAATAAAATACAATAAAAATCAACAAGTTTTTTTTATACCAATTTACAAAGTTTTTAACATAAATAAAACTATAAGGAATTTTTTCAAAAAGCTTGGTAATTTAAAAATTCAATCAATTTCAAAAAAATTCAAGTTATATAGCTATTATATTAGGACTAAACATGAAATCAAAATAAATTTCTACTAAAAAATATATGCCTAATCTAATTTACAAACTTGTCAATTTAGAAATATAAATAACTTTAAGTCTTAAAAACAAAAAATAAAAAAATCAACTAATAATTCAACCTTGCAAAGCTTAAGTAATGTCATTACTTAAATCCTCTTAAAAAAGATATACTTTTAAATTTATTTGACAAGCATAACAATCTTAATCAATCCCTCAAATCAATTATTGTTAAACAAGAAAGATTTGCTAAGTTATTTGTTAAGCCTATGAAATTGGAAAAAATTCTCAAAGTAAGTATTATTAAAGAAAAAACATTTGCAAAGCTTATCAAGCTTAAACAATGTCTATATTCAAGTATTGTAAATATATCAAATTTTAAACCTTGAAAGGATTTTTGACTACCTTGCCATTTTAGATAAGACACTTATATCAAGCATTGTCAAAGAAGAAAGATTTGCCAATCATTTGACAAGCTTTTCAAGCTTATGCAATTACTCAAATAAAGTCTTATTAAAGAAAATTAAGCTTGAGCAACCACTCAAATGAAACGTTGTCAAAGAAGAAAGATTTGTCAATTCATTTGGTAAGTTTGTCAAGCTTCAGCATTTATTTTAAATAAAGCTCTTCCAAAGAAGAAGGATTTCTCAATTTATTTGGCAAGCTTGTCAAGCTTAAGCAACTACTCAAATCAAGGCTTTTCAAAAAAGAAAGATTTAACAATTCATTTAGCAAGCTTGTCAAGCTTAAGCATTCATTTAAATAAAATTCTTCTAAAGAAGAAAGTTTTGCCAATTCATATGATAAGTTTGTCAAGCTTGAGCAACTACTCAAATCAAGTTTTATCAAAGAAGAAAGACTTTCTAATTTATTTTGCAAACTTCACAAGCTTGAGCATTCATTTAAATCAAGCTCTACCAAAGAAGAAAAATTTGTCAATTCATTTGGCAAGCTTATCAAGCTTGTGCAACCATTCAAATAAAATATTTCAAAAAAAAAATATTTTTCATGTCATTTGGAAAACTTGTTAAGCTTGAGTAATTACACAAATTAAGGCTTTTCAAAGAAGAGAGATTTATCAGTTCATTTGGCAAGCTTGTCTAGTTTGAGCAACCAATTAAATGAAATGCTGCTAAAAAAAAAAAAGACTTTTCAATTTATTTGACAAGCTTATCAAGCTTGAGTATTCATTTAAATAAAACTCTTCCAAAGAAGAAAGATTTATCAATTCATTTGGCAAGCTTGTCAAGCTTGAGCATCCTCTCATATTAAGTATTTTTAAAAAAGTTAGATTTGTTTATTCTTTTGACATTATATTTAAAGTTTTATTTTATTAAATAATCTCATGTTTGTTAAATTTTTAAGATTTTTAAAATCTTTTTGTACTACATTAAGTCCAATAGATCCATCTAAATCAAGTCTCAATAATATAATAATTATAAATAGTATTTTAGGTAGTATTTTATTAAAAGTTAATCCTATTAGACTCAATATTGTCAATTCTTCAAATACTTCTCAAAACTCTTTGTTGCATATTGTAGAGAATAGCTTTATTTTGTTGATATAAAAAGTAGAAAGATGATTATTATTTCTTAGTAATAAAACTTTTAATTTCTTTGTATTTTTTTATCAAAATCATAAGTATTTCAAAGTGTCACGGATATAAATCCACAATAATTATTACTTAAGTAATATGAATAGGTAGAATTAGATAAAAGTAGATTAATTTCATACTATCTTCTAGAAGAGCTTCTCAGAAGCTTCTTAGATGCTATTTTGACTTTATATATGTTTGTAGTTGATTGATAGCTTAGAAACTTGGTCAACAAACTATCCATGTGCTACATGTGTTGGTAGCTTGCACAATAAGTTAACTACGTGGCGTTTATATAGAAAACTTGCCTTGCAAGTCAAGATACATGTCATACAAAGTCAACACGTTTTTGAAGGTCTTATAGAATGTCGCCACATAGATCCTAGGTAAATAGTATATATAGAAGCAAGAGTGAAGCTTTCTTCACTCTTGTCAACTCTTTTATTGCTTCTAGTCTAAATTCAAGAGTCCCTAGTTTCTATCTTTTGGCATTAGCCATTCCAATTTACTTTTAATATACATATTTTTTAATTTTTATTTTGTCACTTTTCTTTTGACATAAATTTCTCAAGTTTGTGTATCTTCTTTCAGTTTATGTCCTCGATAGATCGACAAGAGTATACTTATAATATTAGAGCTTTATCTTCTCTTGATTAAGAGTAGATTATTTTTTTTCTTGATAAGACATAAGCATATTAAAAGTTGCGAATTATCCTCTTCTAAATTAATATTGTTCTTAGTATTTTTTTTGTTTTTAAGTCCTCTCTTTTACTTGTCTTGAATAATATTAGATTTTTTTTTTTCTTTTCTAAATGTTATCACAGCAAAGCTTTTTGAAATGAAAAATGCAATGGCACAAATTTAAGAAAAATTAAAGAAGTTGATGATTGCCATGCATCCACTTAGTTTATGACCACCAAGAGTAACAAAAATGAGAGGAAGTGAAGATACAAACATGATTGGAGCCGCTTCAACATCTACACCAAATCACATCTCTTCTCTTATTGTAAAACATCCTTTCAATATTAGAGAATCTAGACTTGCCTTACTCGAGAAGTTTGATGGCACAAGATCTAAGTTTTGAGGATTTATCAATCAAGTACAACTTGTGATTGAACTTTAATCTTAAAGTTATTCAACATAAAGATCATAAGTTAGATTTATTGATACACTTTTTTAAAGTTTGACATTATTATGGTTTCATCTTTTCTTGAATGACAAGATCCAATATTAAATAATCTAGAGGCTTTTTTTATAGAGTTTTGATCTATGTATGAAAAACATGATGCAATTTGTGTTGCAATCAATAAAATTCATATCTTGCAATAAGACAATCGATCAATGATATCATATACTTCACAATTTTGACAACTAGCAATCGATGTCAAATGGGATGATATTGTCCTTATTATCCAATTTTTCTATAAATTACAATATGAAGTAAAGAAATTGATGCTCAACTTACTTGATCTTTAGACATTGAGTCAAGCAATTAACTTTGTTGTGAAGTAAGACAATCAACTTTTTAAGTTTCAATCTGAGAATCGTGCAAAATAATCTTCATGTTATTATAATTCAATGACAACACCAACGACTTCTCAATCTAAACATTTGAAAGTAAAATACATGTAAATTGATGCGGTATATTTAAACCTCTTATTCAACAAGAAAAGACTTGTTATTGTCAAAAAAGACTATGTTTATATTGTAGAGAAGCTAAGCACATTGCTCAACATTGTCTAAAGAAATGATGCAACTATAAAATGAGGAGTAAAATTGTCAAAGATGAAAAAATATCAAAAAATGAATTTGTCCAATTACAATAGGGACCGTGCAGTTGGAATCTTATACAAATGAAGGTCCTATTGTCTCCTCAAAATCTTCTCTTTATTTTACAATAGATGTGTATTTAAGACCTAATAATTACAAAGCCTCTACTTTAATAGATTCAGGAGTCTTATCTTATTTTTTATATGAAAAGTTTGTTAAAAGCTATAAAATACCATTAATATAAAAAAATTAAACTC